TACCAATTGTCGAGAAAGTAGATGATCAGAAAGACGCTCTCACATCTTCATTGCCTAAATCTCCCGAGTTCATTAAAGACGCGAAACTACAAATTGTCGAGAAAGTAGATGATCAGAAAGAGGCTCTCACATCTCCGTTGCCTAAATCTCCCGAGTCCGTGAAAGACGCGAAACTACCAATTTTTGAGAAAGCAGAAGATCTGAAAGAGGCTCTCACATCTCCATTGCCTAAATCTCCCGAGTCCATTAAAGACGCAAAACTACAAATTGTCGAGAAAGTAGATGACCAGAAAGACGCTCTCACATCTCCGTTGCCTAAATCTCCCGAACTTGTTAAAGACGCGAAACCACAAATTGTCGAGAAAGTAGATGATCAGAAAGAGGCTCTCACATCTCCGTTGCCTAAATCTCCCGAACTTGTTAAAGACGAGAAACTACCAATTGTCGAGAAAGTAGATGATCGGAAAGAGGCTCGCACATCTCCTTTGCCTAAATCTCCCATGTCCATTAATGACGCAAAACTACCAATTGTTGAGAAAGTAGATGATCGGAAAGAGGCTCTCACATCTCCATTGCCTAATTCTCCCATGTCCATTAAAGACGCGCAACTACCAATTCTCGAGAAAGTAGATGATCAGAAAGACGTTCTCACATCTCCATTGCCTAAATCTCCCGAGTCCATGAAAGACGCGAAACTACCAATTGTTGAGAAAGCAGAAGATCTAAAAGAGGCTCTCACATCTCCATTGCCTAAATCTCCCGAACTTGTTAAAGACGCGAAACCACAAATTGTCGAGAAAGTAGATGATCAGAAAGATGCTCTCACATCTCCATTGCCTAAATCTCCCGAACTTGTTAAAGACGCGAAACTACAAATTGTCGAGAAAGTAGATGATCAGAAAGAGGCTCTCACATCTCCGTTGCCTAAATCTCCCGAGACCATTAAAGACGCGAAACTACCAATTGTCGAGAAAGTAGATGATCAGAAAGACGCTCTCACATCTTCATTGCCTAAATCTCCCGAGTTCATTAAAGACGCGAAACTACAAATTATCGAGAAAGTAGATGATCAGAAAGAGGCTCTSACATCTCCGTTGCCTAAATCTCCCGAGTCCATGAAAGACGCGAAACTACCAATTGTTGAGAAAGCAGAAGATCTGAAAGAGGCTCTCACATCTCCATTGCCTAAATCTCCCGAGTCCATTAAAGACGCGAAACTACAAATTGTCGAGAAAGTAGATGATCAGAAAGAGGTTCTCACATCTCAATTGCCTAAATCTCCCGAGTCCATTAAAGACGCGAAACTACCAATTGTCRAGAAAGTAGATGATCAGAAAGACGCTCTCACCTCTCCATTGCCTAAATCTTCCGAGTCCATTAATGACGCGAAACTRCCAATTGTCGAGAAAGTAGATGATCAGCAAGAAGCTCTCACATCTGTATTGAGAGACGTTGGCGCTCTGAAGAGTACAGTATTATCGGAGTCAAAATTAACTAACAGAACAGTTTCGGACAATTCAAAACAGCGGGAAACCGTTTCTACGGAAGCAATAAGTAATATTGCCGGTTATGAAAATTTTGATAAAAGTAGAACTTTGCAAACCGTATCCACCGCGATCCACTTATCGGAAGAGAAACAAAAAAAATCCTCCGAAAAATCCGTTGCTTTTAAAGATAAAGATTTAGTTGAATTTTCTAACAATGTGGCAGATGTATCGCGTAAGAAACATTTTAAAGGTAAATCGATCGTTTCTGATCCTCCAAAACGTGACACTAAATCTTCCAAGGTTAGCACTGGCTCAATTGCTACTAAACATAAAACTGAAAGCTCCTCTTCCTCTGTTCTAAAGAAACACACCTTCAGTTCTGAAAATAAATCACTCACTAAAGCAAGTGAGGAAATTAAAGCCGATAAAATTACAGATTCTTCAATGAGAGTAATAAAAAATGCTAAACGCCAAAAAACGTCGAATGGATACTCTGCTCCAAAAATCAAAGTTATACAACATGCCTCGGCTCCTAAGACGAATTCCGAGGTCGCACACGGAGAAGTATCAAAGTGTTCTGAAACAGATCCAGAACCGTATTCCTCCGAATCCGATGTCGAAATATCGACCCAAAAGTCTCAACATGCTTCTCGTTCGTCTGAGAGAACCAAAATCTATAAGCAATCTGGTGCTCGGATGAAGATGGACGATAATACTTCGGAAGCTAAACAGATTAAAGGAAGTGCCATTCCTAAGTTATACAGCCCTCGGCGTTCTAGCAAAATCCAGCCTTCCAAGGCGGGGAGTGATGCAGACATCAGTTCTGACGATGAGAAAAAAATTGTAAAAGAAAGAGTGCTTAAGAAATCATCCAAACCTAGACATTCAAGATCCCCAGATTTGCGACGAGAATCGCCTCATATATTTCCGGTGGCCGTAGGTAAAAAGAAAGTATCAATTTCGAGCAACGAGGGAGCTTCTAAGAGCTCTAGCAGCGACACTCCTGCTAAAAAACAAAGTTATTTAAAAAAGAAAATTGAAGTTCAAGAGGTGGTCAGAACTTCATCACCAAAAAAATACGATAGCCGCATACATGGCTACATGATGTCTACAGTTTCCAGAGACATGAAAATCGATAAACCCCATATAAAGGACAAAAAAGAGACCGATAATTTCAACCAGAAAGTTAAAGGAAGCAGTAAATTCACTGGATTGAAAGTACCAGAAGCGGCAAGTAAGATTGACGAACGGAAAAGAGTTGACTCTAGAAGCTCATATGGCATGCACACGTCTTCGCTTGGGTCTAAGAAAGTTTCTTCCAGAGAAGCAACACCAACGAAAGTTTTGAAATCTAAAGCCAGTACAGCCAGTAAAGCGGCAACTAGTGCTGAAGCACTCATCACATCAGAGTTACCTAAAGTGACTACTTCAATTCAAACCCGTGAAGTGCAAACTAGAGAAACTGAAAGCGCGAGTAAAAAGAAACAAGATGATGACACTGATGGCAAATTTTACAAAACCGATTACAAGGCTCTGGCGGAGCTTCGAAAAGCCAGTCCATCCCCTACTAAACTTAAGCGTACAATTTTAAGCGAACATATCAAAAAGCATCCATTCCATAGCAAAGACCCGTCCCAAAAGTTTGATATTGAGAAAACCGTCCAGTTCTCAGATCGCATTCGAAGTCAATCGGTCATTTCAACGCAATCCCGTGAATTTCCGGACGAAGATCGTAAGAGCACGAGCCCTACATCACTGCCGGGTAGTCCCATCAGAGTCCGAAGCGCTAACGGAGGCGCAAAAATAACATCAGAAGTTTTCACTAGAACTGAGCACCATACGGGGTCTATTGAAGTAATTTACCGGCAACCGTATGAGAACATCCGTCGTGTTGCTTCTCTGTTGAAAAACGAAACCGAGTTATCATTGATTGACACTACTGATTCTAGCTTATCAGAATCTGTAGCGCTACCAAGCAGTCCATCTGATCACGACGTCAGTTCTGATGCGAATGGAAAAATGAAATCCGTTTCTCCTACATCTCCGTGGCACCGAAAATCTCTAGAAAACGCGCACAGAGTCTCCGATTTAATAACTTGCGCAATTCCATTTGGAGACACTCTACAGCCCTGTGAAGATGCAAGCCTGATCCTTGCCAGGCAGATGGTCTTGGCTCAATACGACAAAAAATCTGCGGAAAGTATAAAGTCAGACGAGTCGGTACCTAGACCTTCCGAGCAAAAATCCGAGGAGCGACTGTCACCGATAATAAGCGTTGAAGTTGTATCTCCTCCGAGACAGAAATTCAAGTTTGCGTATGAAGAAGGAATATTGAAAGGAGATACAACACAAGGTAACACATCTTCAGTGTCGCCTGATATACCGATGTCATCCTACAGCATGGCTTCTCGAATAGACCCACGCAAAGAGGTATAATTCCTTGTAATATAGATTAGTAGTGCTTTTTAGACAATGACGCCATACATTTTTGTCCAGAATAGAGGTTAAGTGCATGTTAGCGTTATCCCTTAAGTTAGTAAGAGGATCGCTTCCAATGCATGAGCTAGAAATAGATTTAACTAAGAATGGAATGTTCTATTCTTGGCTTTGTCCTAGATTAAAAATTAACGTGATGTCTTCAAGCAAACTCCACCTGAATATTGGAATTGGAATTCTCGGATAACAGAAAATCGGTATGGGGTTCGGCTGCATTTCTTTAAATATTGATGGTCAGTTTCCCCTTGAAAATATATTTTGAGTTAGACCATTTGCTCTGAATTATTATAGACCTTAATAGCCATTTAAATGAAAACGATATTTGCGTGACCTTAATCAAATTCCCACAAATATATAGATTGTTTTGGTAGAAATTGTGAAGTCCTTATCAGTTTTTTGTACAACTGAAAGTCGATCCAACATGTAAATATTTGCACATTATAATATTGTTTCTGTGCAAATCACTATTTAGATCTCACTGGAAAACTAACATTAGGCAATTCTTAATAGAAACGGATCACACATCAAGGGTACATGGCAGAAGCTTATCAACTCAGCTCACTATTTTCTGGTTTATTTTCTTTAGATTCTATTTAAAGGATATGTCTATGTCCGGTGGCATACCCCAAATAAACATCACCGCTGAAGTCGACGAAGACGAAGACGATAATGATCGTGCTCTTTTAAGTCTTGCTGAAGCACTAACCGATGTGGAGGACCTCTTTGAGGAGGATCAACCAACCACACGCCCCCCTAAGCAAGGAAAAAGCAAACTCAAAATTAAGCTGCCTGACGATGATGGTTTAACTGACTTCGAAGACTTTGAAACATCTTCTGAGGAAGAACACGGCAGCCTAGTTGAACATCAGACACCTATTTTGCTTGCCGACTTAGACATCGAAGCCCCTATTACAGAAGAAAGCTATAAAAAGCACTCGAAAGGACGGAAAGGAAAAATGCGAATGAAAACCGAGTTTGCCACAAAACAAAAAAGCTTCTATCAATCCGATGAAGGAACTGAATCAAATGAGGAAGATGTGGGCACTGAAAGCGAAGGTTACGAAACAGATTCCAACTATCAGGAAGATATCCCTGAGACGGAGATTGACTTTGCAGCATATCGAAGTCAATATTTAGTAGCAGATGATGGCAATTCAGGACTTTCTTCCGTCAAGTCTTCGGTCTCAGATTTTTCGGATTTTGAAACTAAAGACTTAAAATTGCCAGCGGGAAAATCGACGCTAGGCATAAATACTCCCGAACAAGGAGACATCACTGACTGTGAATTCCTAGAATCTGAAACGGATAGCGACACGGAAGTAAAGAAAGCGAAACCTAGAAGAAGGCGTAATAAGGCCCAGAGAAAGCCCCATGCAACTGATGTAGAGGATATCTACTTTTCAGGTGATGAACGCGAAAATAAGCCTATCAAGCGACAGAAACGTAAAACTAAACATATGCTAGCAAAATATGATACTATGCCGTTTGACTCGGAAAATGAAGACAATATTGATTTGCCTTTCCCTCTTTGCAAACAAGTTGCAAAAAAAAACGAACCATCTTTGAGAATTCCAGAATTTGATACCACTTTTCACACCGATGTTGAAGATTTTGAAGAAGATCAGGATTTACCAGACATAGAAAGTAACATTGTTGATGAAGACGCTATGCAGCAAAAACTTCAAGAGGTGGCAATGGGTTACGGTGAGGTTAATGAAGGAAGTGGTAACATTGAAAACCACAGCATATACAGGTGCTCTGTGGTTGCAGGGATTAGTGATTCAAAAGGAGATCAAACTGACGAAGAAACCTGCAACTCTGAAGGTCATTGCGATCATGACACAACTTTAAACCGTGATAAACTTGATTACAAAATCAAATTCAGCCCATCCATTTCGATCATTTCAGGAAGAAGTCGAAGCAATCGCTTGGCACTTCCTCTAAACCCTGAAGAACCTTTAACAGACTGTGAAAATATTGACAGCTCACCAGAAGAGACGCCAATAAAGGCAATTTCTGTTGCACTTGTGCAACTCCAGGAACAAACTGACGAAGAAGAATTCTCTGATAATGACGAATTCAAAATCGACGAGCAAGAAATCGAACTGCCACCTCCCACAAGAAATTTAATTTTGATTGAAGAAAATGACTCTTTAGTGCCGACTATTCGTATCTTACCTTTGGATGGCTTGGAGGAAAATCAAGAACAAGAACATTTTGGAGATCCTCAAGCTACGGATGAAGAGAGCATTTCTGACGTGGAGGATATTCTTGAATCCGCCAACTCAAGATCGGTTACTCCTGATTTGCCTATGATGGATGGCGGGCTGGTGCGAGTTCTGGAAAATGAAAATACGCCCCGAAACTATATAATCCAGAATTCAAACGGTTCAGTCACAGACACCGAGGAGGTTATTTTGGAAAACAACCCCAAAAGACGCAGAGCTCCAAAGTTCAAGTACATGTTTGAGAAGAGCTTGGGGAAATCGAACACATTGTCTCCGTCAGCCAGCATACCTGCTGCGGGATTAACGGACACAGAAGATTTATATCTTAGCGATGAAGAAAAAGGAAAATTTTCAAGTCTAAAGCCTATAAATACTGGGGAGGGTGGTTTAACGGATACTGAAAATATCGATTTGTCTGAAGATGATTATGACATGTCGGGGTTTAGGCCAGCTTCGGCAACTCCTCAGCACTTGCGAGCCCTGGAGGGAGAGAATGTTCTCTTGAAAGAAAGTTCTGGTTCATTATCACATAAAGATCAGATGGAGCTAAAAAAGTGCGTTTCCAATGGCGCCAATAACTTTGCAGCTCCCGCGACGCCTGCCTCAAGCGATAGCGAAGACATGATGGCATCAGCGGAAGAAGATCTTGAACCCCCAAAATTGCAAGGAGTCGCGAAGCCTCTAAAAGATTTGTATCAGCCGGATCAAAAGGTTCTGGGCGAACTTACGAGGAACTTCAATTCAGAAACCCCCGAAGAAGTGATGTACCTGAAAGGTGGCGGTTACAACGATCCTGAAACGGATATTGATTGTTTACAAGACGAATCGGCTTTTGGCGATTTGCATGGTCTAAGCAAACCATCTGGTGACGATCATCAAATCGAACAAATATTTTTTGAGTTTGAGAAGTTTTCGGTCGCTTTTGGGTACAAAGGTAATAAAGGCCTTGATTATATGTATATGTATGAGCTAAAAATTGTTTGTCCATTGAATCCACACTTAGGCAAGTAAGTAATGCTTTAGATGTTTGGTTGGCATGCCAGGTAGAGCTGATGACACACTCAACTAGATTTAGTGTTTTGATCTTTTTTTTTGTCAATATGGTACAAAATATGCAGTTTAGCAAACTGAAAAAACTGTTTAAAAACGACGTGGACTGAAAAAGCAGGAATCGGATTATTATTGTGAGTTATTATCACTGGTTTATTGCTTAAATGCGAATGCAGTTTCATGTGGTTACATTTATCGTTCTAAAATCTGACAGTCTATGGACCTGACCATATGTACTTTTAAACTCAGACAAATGATGATTTTTCCTAACGATGAATACAAACATGTTATATTTGCATCTCTGAATAGGATGGGGGCAATGAAACAATTTTGCAGAACTGCAGATATTTAGTAACAGAACTGTTGATAATACACAAAGTAGCTCGATTCTTACAAAGCAACTAACAAATAAGTTATTCATGCAGGCTCCTTTATCACTGTAAATCAATTACTAGATGAAAAATAGTTACATTTATAAAATATGCCATCTTAGAAATAGTTTTTTTATTCAATTTCCTGGCTTTTATAGGGCTTTGAGTTCATTTTCTATTGGGACTTGACCTGATGTAGTAAATTAATTACGTGTTTGTTTTTAGATTGGGACTCTTCCAGAAAGTCAGCAGACATCGCCGACCCAGCATCATTAGAAAAAGACGCAGCACAGCAAGGTAAGAGCAAAGTGATTGGTCGATATTATTGATACATATACAAATTATTTAAACAATTCAGTATTTTTTATTTAATATACAGAATATATCAGATGTGTCAATACTTGTACATTTGAATGTAATTTAATTCAGGTGTTAAGTTAGGGGCATCACCATCTATCATGTTATTTTTTATTTCGGTTTATTTTACGTGTTTTTGTAAAATCCAAGCCAGAGAATGCTTTTGGTGCATAAGAACGCGATTCTTGGTTTCACTGTAGCAAAGTAAGACGAAAATGCTTGTTTAATTATGCATAAGTTCTTATTTTGATAATTAAATCTATATTTTGATATACAAATCGACATTCACGCAGATTTAAAAAAGCATGAGCATGATGCACAAATATTTCTTTATGTTTTCAATTAAATTTCTTCCATACAGGGTGACCTAAATTACTCGTTGGTTTGTCCTTTTTTTGAAGTAGATACGAACATAGAGCTCTATGAAATAAAATTTGCTTATTGACTTTGCGCGAAGTACCCTTAGAAAAGGCCATTTAACATTAATTAAGCTAAAACATTATATCTTGAAACTAGATTAATGTTAATAATTATTATGACGATTATTAGTTTAAACTGTTCAATGCGGTTTGTTTGGAGGCTTTGGAATAGAGCTTAAATCCTAAATTTCAACAAAAGGTAGTCCTTACTATTTCTCTTAGAATAGATCGATAGATCACCCTGTTCACATTGGACCGAATTTCAATGTGTTTATTAAGAATAGCGGAAAGTTTAATAGTTTCAATTCTCGCTGTTTATACGGAGACCATTGCAAAGTTTGCCATCCGTTTCTTCATCTTTAAACTGTACGAGTTTTAAATTAACATATTTGCATCATCTACATTTACAGACATTTATTTATAAAGCGGTCTTTATATTCCGAAAAGTGCACCGTTCAAACCCACTTTTCAATAGTATTTTAATCACAGAAATGAGCTCGAAAGTAAGAACAATCTGAATCACAGATATTCTTTGAAATTATTATAAGGAATCCGATATCATTTGAGGGAATTTTCAAAGACTTTTGCCAGGACTCAATTCGACTCTAGACTCTTGAAAAAGTTCCTGATATTTTCATTTGCATTAACTCATTTGAATGCTTTTATGATTTCCTCACTTTCAATCATTTATTTTTGCCAGGTGAATACGTTTCGCTCTAAGTTCTGGCGGATTTTATTTCGGCTGATTACACACTTGAAATCGAAATAATGTTATTGCTGTTTATTCTTATTTCGCCTTGTAGGCCATTAATTTTATTATTACTCACATATCCTCAATAAACACATTGATATTTGCGTGCAATACTTTAATCTAGGATTGCTGTTAGAGTTAATTTGTGGCTTTTTCAATTGAAGAAGCTGGCACTAAACGATCGAGCACTAGTGGTAGCGATAGTAAGAATGATACTTTCACATCTGCTCCAACAGGTTATCGAGTTAAATTACAAATATTTATCACATTTTTACTTACAAATTCAGTTTTCGTGATTTGTAACTGTGAGATCAGAATTGCAGAGGCAGGAAAGTATCAACAATTATTTGCTATTTGAAAAGTATCGAGCACTGATCCAAGAAATTTCAATATCATCATTCATGCCTCATCAAACTTACAACGAACTGATATAGACTTAAAACCAAATTCAAATATTCTTACTTCAGTTTGGTTAATGTTAATGCATATAATTATTTTATTTGGTGCATGTTGCAGAATCAATTCTCAACGCAGTTTCTTGTGAAATTGAAACAAATCGCAATATGTCCCTTTCCGAAACCCCACATAAAACCGCTACCTATTCCCAAATCGATATAATTTTAGATAGAATGCTCGACGAAGTTGAACAGCAAGAGCAAAGCTTGTTTGGACTTGATCTAGATGTGCTGGAACCTCGTGATAGTCCATGCATCAATACGCTGGAACTAATTCCTAGCGCTGATGCTTTAATAGAAGTGCCTATTAAAAAATCGATTAAGATACCTAAGAGACATCCCAAAGTGTACGAAACCACCCAAACTATCAACGTTAAGCAAAGCGACGAAAGTCCGTATGAGTTGATGTCGTTTGGTGAGTCCAAAGAGGAGAGTCAACCTGAGGAACACGAATACGATCTAATACAATTCGAAGAGTTGAAAAAAGATGTCAAAACGTTGGCAAATGAAGTAATTTCAGTTCCAGTGGAAGGAGATGAAGCATGCTTTCTCCTATCACATGCTGATGAACAATATTTCGAGAAACCGTACACCAGCAACTACACAATAGAATTCTCCAAAGCAACAACTGCATCGGCAGAATCTCTAAATGACAGAGCAAGTACACCAGACAGTCAAACGTATCAAAGAATGGAGTCAATAGATCCAGAAGAACATGATTATGAGCCAATTGATACACAACATATCAACGACTTTGACTATCAGCTGCATGAAAACTGCAGCGATTCTAGTGATATATGGTGGGAAGGTACTTATAGAAATCTGAGCATTGTGCCCGAAGAGGACGAAGAAAATTTGAGCTTGTTGAGTAGTTTGTATTCCAATCCCAACAAATTCGTTTCAAAACCATATCCCGTTTTGCCCGAGACCAATGGAACGGAAGAACATCTTCTTTTAGTTGACTCACAAAAGTCGTCTATCGACGACGAAAGTAGTTCTTCCTCGTCTACCAGTCCTGATGAAGGCACTTATGATCTACGGGAAAAGGTTGTTAAAGCTGAAGTGAAATTGATGGTGAAAACTACCGATCGAGGCAGGGAAAACATTGAAATCCGCTCGGTGAGAGAATTTATGGATGATACGCCTAAGAAAACTCAGGCATCCGATAAACAAAAACAGCACAGACTAAAAAGCCAGACTCTACCATCGAGCCTTGGAGAAAAGTTTGCAAACTTTGGGAATAAGGTTTCCAATTTTCTGGACTTAAACAAAAGGAAATCTTACTCTCATTCTGCGTTAGAGCTCTCATCAGAAAAGCCGGACGAAATTGCAGGAACCACTATGATGGCACCCTCCTTTACGCTTCCCAGATTATTTATCAAACCTCAAGGCGACGAGATTTTTCCAAAAGTAGGTTCAGATTCGCTATTGTCCAGCAAAGAGCTTTCCAAAAGCAAATCGGAATTGATCGCTACTACAAAGGAGATTTTTCCACTGCAATTTGATCATACCACGAAGATTGACTTATATGCCAATCCTCCCTTCTATCCAATTTATGACGATTGTGAATCCTTACTGCAACCTTCGCATTCTTCCTCACCTGTCCCTATTCATCCATCACCCGCATATTGTGATTGGTTTTCCCAGCCTGAAGATTCAGTTAAAGGTAAAGTGAACGTGCTAAACCACAACTGCATGGTTTTTTTGCGATTTGCAGCCGGTTTTTCGTTTAACTAACTGATGGTGCATTAACCGGTTGACCCTGCAGTAAGAATATTTTCTATTGAAAGATAGCTTTAAGAGTACAGTTTTGGTAGTTAGAATGGCTTGTTCGATTTTGCATGTTCTTGCAGGAAAACCGACCTCGACAGCACAGTATTTAGCTAGTAATGAAGATGTATCGCTAATAGACGTAAGCCAGGCCAATACGAATTTACGTTATCCGACACAAAATTTAAAACCGATTTTCGACCAAACTAACGCATTTATATTGTCTGAGTCACGCTCCGAACCTTACGACGCTCATACCAAAAAACACAACGCCGTAGATGCTGAATCTGGGTCGGTACCAGGTCAGCGTGAAGACAAGAAATCTAAGCGCGGGTTCTTTGGAACGCTTAAAGGTTTTGTTAGTAGATCGTCAGATTTCTCCGACTCGGACTCGGAAAAAACTATCAAGCGGGACAAAAAGAAAAAGGATAAGAAAATAAAGTCACAGTCTCTAGATGAGACTGGTTTACCGCCGCAGCCTCCTCTGCGCCCCCCTAGAAAGCCTAAAATGCCCACACCGATTCAAGACCGCAAATATGATGATATTCCTTTTATGGAAGTTGGTGACGAACCGCCTTTTTATGCCCCGCCTAGCATCCCCGATCAAGAATTAAATGTCCAGCTGACAAAAATGTCGAAACTTCCTACTCAGCCCATTCTAATTGACGAATGTATTGTTGTTTCTCCACCAGAAGAACCTTCCACGTTAAAAGATAAAAAGTCCAAATCTCCATCAAAAGAAAAGTTGCCAAAACAGGATCAAAGTAAGGCACCAAAATTGCCCAAAGCTCCATCACATCCAGTGCTCAGTGATGAGAGTGTCGTTACTTCTTCGGCAGCGGAAAAGCCGTCTCCGCTGAAAGATAAAAAATCTAAATCCTTATCTAAAGAGAAGTTGCCAAAAGAGGAGCGCCCTAAAACACCAAAACTTAGGAAAACTAAAACTGTCGTTGTAGATGAGCAGGTAATCAAAACCTTTGCACCGGCCGCTGTAGAAGAAGAAGAGTTCACAATAGTCATTGACCCCACCAGAAAAGAGTCGCCGAAAAAATCCAAAGAAATATTCACGTTAAATATTGACCAATCAGTTGGTGAGATTGAAAAGCAAATCTTAGGTAAATCGCCGATAATGCCTGAGGAGACAATTGTAAAACCAATAGTGCTCATTCAGGAATCTCCCGTGCGACCTCCAAGGTCCAAAGATCATTATTACGAGGACATTGTTGATGCCCCTGTCGTATCGGTGCCACCTGAACATTTAGTCAGTGAGCCACAATCTCTTAAACCCATAGAACGCGTTAAGAAAGTTACAACAAACTTAATAGAAAATGAGAAAGAGTTTGTAGAAGGTCAAATGCAATCAGCTGAGTCTCTGAAAGATGCGAACGAAAACAAAATAACCCCCGCTTCGGGAAAGACTAAAAGAAAACATAAACTAAAGCTTTTCGCAAAGCTTTCTAAGACTTCGAAAGATTCGGAAGAGTCAGACGATGAAAGCTCTCGCAACGATGTAGTTGAAAAGCAAGACGGTGAAGAATCCAAAGAGGACCCCGCAGATGTTGAAGAGCGAAAGAAGAGTTTCTTCGGGTTGTTCGGCAAGAAAACCAAAAAAGGTGACGGAGCAAAGCTCTCACATGAAACTGTAAAAAACATGAAAGATAGCAGTGAGTTTTTGAAACTTGAGGTTGACAATTACCATGACTCTCAAATATTTAGTGTTCCAACTTCACCCAAGAAAAATGCTGTGGGTAAAAGCCCAGAGGCAGTTTTGGAGAAAACGTTTCGAAGATCAAAAAGTAAGGAAAAACGTTCCGAGAGTAAAGAGCGTTCAAAGAGCCGAGAGAGATCTAAGAGCAGAGACAGATCTAAGAGCAGAGACAGATCTAAAAGCAGAGACCGAGATGGATTCTTCAAAATCGGTTTGTTCAAGAAACAAAAGAAGGAGCAAGAGAAAGCAGGCCTTTCCGACGAAACAGTTGCCAATATGCAGTCTACCAGTCATTTCCTCAACTTTGAAGTAAATAGTTACCACGATGCATCGCCTTCAACAAAAGAGTTCATTATTATAACAAACGGCCAGTCGACACCTACTGATAAAAAAGAAACTCCTGTTTCTGAATCAGGAAATATACCTATTGAACCAGCACTTATATTTAGTGACCAGTCGCCCAAAGAAACTGCTCCTAAACCAAAACCGCGAAACAAGGGAAAACAAAGTGCTGCAAGCTCACCAGTTGATACAGCTGAAGTTCGAGAAACGACTATAACTGATAACTTAACAGGACGAAAAATTACCACTGTTTCACAAGAAAGCAGTGATCATGGAAAAAAAATCATATCCGTTAATAAAGAAATATATCTTGTCGATCCGAAGAACATGGAGGAATTAGACAATGACTTAAAAATGAAGATTAGGCAAGCTCAACTAGATGCAGCTGGCTCCAGCAAAGATAAGTCGAAACCGTTTGTAAGAGAAACGTTTTCTGTGCAAACAAAAGTAATCGACAGAATTGTACCTATTGTTAGCGAGAAAGAGACTATTACTGAAACCGAAGTGACATTTCGAAATGTTCCATCGACTGTTATGCTCGAAGCTAACGTACAATCTGAAACATATCCGCATCAAGAACAAATAGTCTTTGTTAAACCGGTTTTATCAGATGATGTAGTTTTTAATATGAATCACAGCGATGATTTCTTGAAAAGAGAAGTTGGTGGTTACCACGATGTACGTTTTGTGGCTGCCAATGAAAGTTCCAGAGCTTCAGAAGATGAACAAACGAAAAGCAGTGGTATTTCTGAATTGCCCAAATCACCCGAAAAGATCAAGCCAGAGGAAAATATTGAGAGAAGTATCAAATCAATACCCCAAGAAACATCATTACCTATTGCAAAACCTGAACTTACTGATCACGTAAAAACCATTCAGGATTCAGATCACTTTCTTATCAAAGAAGTTCAACTATATCATGATGTGCGCCCTATTGTGCGACATGTCGAAGAACCACTTGAGGTAGAAGAGTCTCCAAAACAGAAAAGCAGCCAGTCAACTGATGATAAACAACGTAAGAGTCCAAAGCGACTGTTCGGTATTTTTAAGTCGCCAGAGAAAGATAAGAAGAAACGAGAAAAGAGCATTGATAAACCTGTATTGTCACAGGAAGTGATAACAAACATGAAAAATTCTAATAAGTTTCTGAAAACAGAAGTGGATATATATCACGACGTGCGACCAGTGATCGTTGAAGTACAAGAAGTAGAAAAGGAAGAATCCATTGCAGAAAAAGATCGTAAAGAAACCAAAGGAATATTTGGCATCTTCAAGTCTCCCGAGAAAAGTAAGAAAAAGAAGGAAAGGAGCATTGAGAAGCAAGTTTTGAAACCAGTATTGTCTGCAGAAGTAGTAACAAATATGAGAAACTCGGACGATTTTCTAAAAAAAGAGGTATTGGTATATCATGATGTACGTCCAATTGCTCAAAAACTGCAAGAAGTGGAGGTGCTAGTTGAACAGCAACAAAAGCCTCCGACAGTAGAACTGAAAAGTCAGAAGGAGTCCAAAGGAATATTTGGTATATTCAAGTCACCTGATAAGGATAAGAAAAAGAAAGAGAAAAGTATTGAGCGGCAAATTTTAGAACCAGCTTTATCAGAAGAAGTACAAACAAACATGAAAAATTCGACCGAATTTCTAAAAACTGAAGTCGAAATATATCATGATGTACGACCTAGTATTCGTGCCTCGGAAAATGTGGAAATTCAAATAAAGACGGAGCCATCCGATGAAAGAGAACATAAAGAAACCAAAGGAATACTCGGTATTTTTAAGCTGGGAGAGGACAAGAAAAATAAGGAAAAAGGCGTTGATATACAGATTTTCAAACCAGTCCTGTCAGAGGAAGTAGCTACAAATATGAAGAACTCAGATAATTTTCTTAAAACGGAAGTCGATATATATCATGATGTACGGCCAGTTGTTGAAAATAAACTAAAACCAGATAAACCCGAGCAGACAGCGGAATACCTTCAGACAGATCAACTAACAGAACCCAAGGAATCCAAAGAACTATTTGGCATTTTGAAGTCCCCAGACAAAGGTAAGAAGCAAAAAGAAAAAAGCATTGAGAAACCAGTTTTGTCAGATGAAGTAACAATGAACATGAAGTATTCAAACGATTTTCTAAAAAAGGAAGTTCACATATACCACGATGTACGTCCTATTGTTAAAGAAGTACAGAAAGCCGAAACACCGATACAGAAAGAAGAGAAGAAAGATGATAAAGAGTCCAAAAAGTTGTTCGGTATATTCGAGCCTAAAGCAAAGGGTCAGAAAAAAACAGAAAAAGATATTGATCATCAAATTTTGAAACCGGTGGTGTCCGAAGAAATTCAAACTAATATGAAACACAGCAACGATTTTCTGAAAACGGAAATAAGTATTTATCATGATGTGCGACCTATTGCTCGTGTAATAGGAGAAACAGAAGGAGAAACGCAGAAAGGACCAGTCGAAGGAAAAGAGCAGAAACAATCCAAAAGCATCCTCGGCATCTTTAAGTCACCTGAGAAAAATAAGAAAACGAAGGAAAAGAGTATTGAGAAAGAGATTTTAAAACCGGCATTGTCAGAGGAAGTAGTAACAAACATGAGAAAATCGGATGATTTTCTTAAAGCAGAAGTCGATATATACCATGATGTACGCCCAATTGTGCAAAATATTCAAGGGGAAGCGAAACCAGTACAGAAACAGGATATTGTTCAGACTTCGGATCAAAAAGATTCCAGAGGATTATTCGGCATATTCAAATCCCCTGAGAAAGATCGGAAAAAGAAGGAAAAAAGTGTTGAAAAACAAATTTTGAAACCATTATTATCAGAGGAAGTTAAAATAAACATGAAAAACTCTAATGATTTTCTAAAAAAAGAAGTAGATGTATATCATGATGTGCGCCCTGTCGTTCGCGAAATAGAAGAGCTTGAAATACAACCACAGGAAAAAACAATTGAAGAAAAGGAACGTAAAGAATCAAAGGGATTATTTGGCATTTTCAGGTCACCAGAGAAAGATAGGAAAAAGAAAGAAAAAAGTGTTGAAAAACAAATCATAAAACCAGTAATATCAGAAGAAGTTCAAGCCCACATGAAAAATTCTGATAATTTTCTGAAAAGAGAAGTGGAAATATATCACGATGTGCGCCCACTGGTCTGCGAACCACCAGAACTAGAGAAGGGAGAAACAGTTGAAGAAAAGGATCATAACGAAAGCAAAGGAATATTTAGCATTTTCAAGTCGCCTGAGAAAGATAAGTCTAAACGTGAAAAGAGCATTGATAAACAGACTGTCAAACCAGTATTGTCAGAGCAAGTAATATCGGACATGAAACATTCGAAGGATTTCCTAAAAACGGAAGTTGATATATATCATGATGTCCTTCCAATTGTCGAAATAATACAAAAACCAGAGAAGAAAACAGACAACATTCAGACAATCCCACTGGCAGACCAGAAGGAGTCCAAAGGACTATTTGGCATTTTTAAGTCGCCTGATAAAAGTAAAAAGAAAAAAGAAAAAAGCATCGAGAAGGACAATTTAAAACCAGTTTTATCACAGGAAGTAATAATAAACATGAAGAACTCAAACGATTTTCTGAAAACAGAAGTTGATATATATCACGATGTACGGCCAATTGTTGAAGAAATGCAGCAACCAGATCAAGCAGCCCCAAAACAAGAGAACCTTCACAAAGCGGATCAAAAGGAATCTAAAGGCCTATTTGATTTATTCAAGGCGCATGATAAAGATAAGAAAAAGAAAGAAAAAAGCATTGAGAAAGAAAGTGTAAAAGCAGCTTTATCAGATGAAGTTAAAACAAATATGAGAACCTCAGACGATTTTCTGAAAAAAGAAGTTGATATATATCACGATGTACGTCCAATTGTTGAAGAAATGCAGCAACCAGATCAACAACCCAAAAAACAGGAGAACCTTCACAAAGTGGATCAAAAGGAATCTAAAGGCCTATTTGGTTTATTCAAGGCGCATGATAAAGATAAGAAAAAGAGAGATAAAAGCATTGAGAAACAAAGTGTAAAACCAGCTTTATCAGATGAAGTTAAAACAAATATGAGAACCTCGGACGATTTTCTGAAAACAGAAGTGAAGATATATCATGATGTGCGCCCAAATGTCTGCGAAACAGAGGATGTGAGGGAACAACAGAAATCAGAATTGGCTGACGAAATAGACCAAAAGAAATCTAAAGGCTTATTCGGTATATTCAAGTCGCCTACTAAAGATAGGAAAAAGAAAGAAAAAAGTATTGAAAAACAAATTGCAATACCAGTTTTATCAGAAGAAGTTCAAACGAATATGAAAAACTCGAATGATTTTCTGAAAAGAGAAGTCAATATATATCATGATGTGCGTCCAATTATCGTGCAAGTAGGAGAACCGAAAACAGAAGAGACTATTGAAAAAGTTAGTATAGAATCCAAAGGAATAGTCGGCATAATTAAGCCGCCAGTAAAAGATGCAGGCAAGAAGGTGAAAAGTGTTGAGGAACAAGTTTTGAAACCAGACTTATCAGAAGAGGTAATAAGAAACATGATGATATCGAACGATTTTCTGAAAACGGAGGTGGATATATACCATGACGTACGTCCAGTTGCTGTAAACAAAGATAAACTAGATCAATCATCGTTAAAACAAGAACACATTGCGACAGAGGAACAAAAAGACCAAAAACAATCTAAAGGACTATTTGGCATATTTAAATCGCCTGAGAAAAATAAGTCGAAAGAGGATAGCATTGAGAAAGAACATGTTAAACCAGTACTATCAGAAGAAGTTAAAACAGACATGAAAGACTCGAACGATTTCCTAAATACAGAAGTGAGTATATATCATGACGTGCGCCCAATTGTTCCGAAAATAGAAGAACCAGTTAAAGAGGAGATCACAAAACCAGTCGAAGATAAAGTTCGTAAAGAATCCAAAGGGATTTTTGGTTTGTTCAAATCTCCTGAGAAAGATAAGGAAAAGAGGGAAAAGAGTATTGACAGATCCAACGTACAGCCAGTAGTTTCAGAGGAAACGTTAGTAAATATAAAGAACTCGAACGATTTTCTAAAAACTGAGGTGGATAAATATCATGATGTACGTCCATTGGTGGAATGTATTGAAAAAATAGAGGAACCAGCAAAAATGCCGGAGAACCTTCAGAGAGCCGTCGAAAAAGATCATAAAGAAGCAAAAGGAATATTTGGCATCTTTAAGTACCCTCTCAAAGATAAGAAGAAAAGAGACAAAAGTATTGAGAAAGCTGTACTGTCAGCGGAAGTTTTAGCAGACATGAAAAATTCAAACAATTTTCTTAAAACCGAAGTAGATATATACCATGATGTCCGCCCTATTGTTAGTGAAATGGAGGAATTGAAAATAGAAGAGAAGATAATAACCATTGATGAACCCGACCCTAAAAAGGCGAAAGGTTTATTGGGAATATTCAAATCACCAGGAAAAGAGAAGCAAAAAGACGAAAAAGATTTGGAAAAACAGAGCGGAAGATCATTGATCACGGAGGTAGTGAAAACGAACATGAGAAAATCAGGCGACTTTGTCACAACCGAAGTTAGAATTTTCCATGACGTTCGGCCAATTAAAGAAACTTTCATTAAACCACAAGAAATGGTAGCTGAAGAATTGTCTAAAGCACCAGAGGACAAGACACATCGTACTGTCAAGATTGAACAACATTTTGTACAGCCAATGCTGTCGGATGATACCAGGGCTGATATGGAATTTTCAAACGATTTCCTTAAACAAGAAGTTGAACTTTACCACGACGTACGTCCTATTGATATCCAGGACAGAGATCTGAAAGAAGCCGTTGATGAGAAAGAATCTAAAAAGTCCAAGGGAATACTTGGTCTGTTCAAATTACCACACAAGGACAAGAAGGTAAAAGAAGACGAAACTGTCGAAAAACAAACTGTAAAACCGATTTTATCAGACGAAGTTGTAACCCTGATGCAAAATTCTGAAGAATTTCTTAAAACCGAAGTGGATATATACCATGATGTACGCGCTTTAATTTCTCCAAATGAACAAAATGTACAGCCGGAGGTTTTAGAAGATCAAATTGCGCCCAGAAGTTTATCTGGTATTTTCCAGTCGTCCCAGTCGTCCGATAAAGATGCGAAAGAAGCGGAAATGACAATTAACAGGCAGATGCCAGAACTCTCACAGGATGTTATTGATCACATGAAAGATTCATCAGATTTCCTTAAACAAGAAGTAGAAGTGTTTCATGACGTTCGTCCAATCATCGTTAGTGAACCAGAGAAACAATTACAGTCCCAAGCGACAGTTGAGGAAAAAGACCATAAAAGCCCTAAGGGATTTTTCGGCTTGTTTAAATCACCCCGAAAAGATAAGACAAAGAAACAAGGAAGCGTAGAATCAGATAAACAGATGCTCAGTGAAAAAGTAATGACTGATATGAAAGCATCGAAGAATTTCTTGACAACAGAAGTACAAATATATCAAGACGTTCGCCCTATTATTAATGCAGCATCCGTCACTGAAACAACGCCAGAAAAGAAAGTTGTCCAAGAAGAAAAATATACAATAGAAAGCAATGAATTGCAATTGAATCCCAATCGGGAATCAGAGCATGAGAAGCGCCAAAGGGAAGAAGCAATACAAAACCAGCAAAATTGCGACGATTTTCTCAGAAAAGAAGTTGAGCTATTTCACGACGTACGTCCCATAGTTGAAGAGAAGGAAAAATCGCCGGCGCCAATCGAAGTAAAAGAATCAAAAGGAATTTTCAGAATCTTTAGATCACCAGATAAAGAAAAGAAGAAACGGGAAAAGAGTATCGAGAAGCAGAGTATGCAACAAGTACTCTCAGAAGACACTTTAAGTGAGATAAAGGATTCCGAACTTGCCGCTGGAGCAGTAAGTGAAGAAACGATTCCCGAAGTCGCCGATGAACAACAGAAGATTAAGAAAAATTCTAAAGGACTTTTGAGCATGTTTAAAAAGCAACATAGCGACAGTAAAGAACGTCCGACCAAATCGAAAATTTTTAAGAAAACGAATGAAAAACGTGCGACAAGCGTCGACAAAGATCTGAAGCCGAAACTTTCTACTGAGGCAATTGCTGACATGTTGAATAGCGACAATTTCCTTAAAACTGAAGTTGAAACATACCATGACGCACGACCACTTCCTAACCAACCGATTACTGAAGCCATTTCCGAAACGGAACTTTGCAAACAAGAAAATATGGCTCAAGTCACCAGAGAATTTTATGGTGACAGTCAGCTTCCAATGAACCAGACTAGTCTCTTTTTGGAAGACGAAGTACTTAAATATAAAGATGTAAAGCTTGTAACCCAGGAAGTTGCTATAGAGAAAGCGAAAGATGAATTGACTTTTGCTGAACACAAAAAAGAAAGCAAAGGCATATTAAAACTTTTTAAGAAGAAAAAGAACCAGGAACCTGAAAATGAACCACTACAATTATCCGATCCCGTTATACAGCAACTACAGGATTCATCTTCATTTTTAAAAGACGAAATAGATAAATTTCACGATGTTCGCCCAGTCGTCCAAAACAATTTAGAAATAAATCGAGAAACACCATCAAATTCTGAAAGTTTACCAATGACACCTTCCTATGCACATTTTGCTGAAAAACCGTTGAAGGCCCCCAAGTTTATTAATAACGAGCTAGATCACTTTGAGGAAGCAATTCCCGAGATAAAATCGATTCCTACGAAAGAAATTGGTACCTACAGTCAAATAACGCTTTCTGAGAAAGTTCTCCTGGACATGATCACGTCAAGTAATTTCTTACGAGAAGAAATTGGACATTTCCATGATGTCAGACCAATAGTTAAACTTCAAACACCAGAGCAAGCTCCAGAGGATACCAAAGAGAAACCGGCAAAGAGCAGCAAATTATTTGGTATATTTAGTAAAAGAAAGTCGCAGGAACGGGAACCTTCTGAGGAGAAGGAACGTCCCGACAAACAGAAAAAGGACAAGAAAAAGAAAAAATCAAAGGCAGAAGAGGAAAAACCTGAAGAGCAACAAGCAGGAACACCAGCTTTAGCACCACGTGTTGAGCCATTTGTAGTTAGCAAAGATGATATCAAAGATTTCCTCAAAGGAGAAATCGACCGTTATCACGATGTAAGACCATCGATTCAACAAACCGACGGACATGATGGTGGTCTCTTTGAAGCACATTCAAAGAAGATTGACCCATCAGACGAGGGCTCAAAAGGTGTGCCAGAACAGCAACCGATCGTTGTAGACATTGCTGAAGTACAGCAAACTATTTGGGAAGGTAATTTAAAAAGTAAAAAAATAACTACAGTGACTGAAGAAGCCTCAAATAATTCCAATAAAATAGTGAGTGTAACCAAAGAAATATATGCGATCAATCCTAATGTCCTAAAAGATGTTACTGATCTAGATGAGGATATTAAAAGGAAAATTGCTCAAGCAAAACTTGATGCTGATGAACTTGACAGGGACAGGTCCAAACCATTTATAAGAGAAAACTTTTCAGTGGAGACCAAGATTATTGACAGAATCACTCCTATTGTCGCTGAAGGCGAAACTGTAACGGAAACAGAAGTAATTTATGAAAATGTCCCCTCAACTATAACTAGAGATATATATACTCTGCCCGAGACAACTAAGTCAGCAGATATCTCAACATCGAGGGCTGATCAGATGTTCAATGAAACAACTGACTTTTTGGAGCAAGAAATTTCAAATTATTCTGATGTAAAACCCATAATTACACCGCAACCGCAAGAAGTCAAAGAAAACCTGAAGCCTGAAGAAACAGAGGAAAAAACGAAACAGAAAAAAGTTGGCAGTACTTTCAAATTATTTGATCGAAAGAATAAATCTGAAGATCACTCGACTAAGTCTTTTGATGATGATAAAGAGAATTTAGGCAAATCGGATAAGGCTAAAGCCAAAGACCGAAAGGATAAGCGCGAGAAGAGAAAAAGTGGAGGTTTCTTTTCCTTATTTTCCAAATCGTCTCAAGACAGTGCAGAGACTGAAATCGTAGGCCAATCACTGACGTATAGTCCTGAAACGCTGAAAACTTTGCAAGACACAAATAACTTTTTAAACACAGAATTGACGTGCTATGAAGACGGAAAGCATATCTTGGTTACAGATTTAGATGACGATGTCGAAGTTGAAGAGCATACAAAATCTGGGTTGTTTGGCATATTTAGCAAGAAAAAAGATAGCCCAAAAATTTCTAAAAAGCTCTTTATGAAGAGCAAACGAGAACGCTCTCAGGAAAATGCGGGTTTAACCGAAAAGACCTATAAAAAATTAGAAGATCTTGACGAAGCTATTGACAAAAGAATTGGAGATGTTCAAAAACAGCTAGAAGATACAGAACGGACATCTCAGCAACTGGTTGACAATACTGGTGAAAAAATAGAAAGCCTGGTAAAAGATGCAGATTCTAAATTGAAACAGAAGAAAGTAATGTTCAGTGAGGTTATAGAAGATGTTAGAAGCGATGTGGGAGGACATGCTTCAGATAGTACTGATAAAGCAAAAGTACAAACTGAAAGTCTCCAGCTGATTGATAAAACTGACGCGTTAACCAGTGAGAGAGTGAAAAAAGAAATTGATAATTTAGCTAAGAACGTTACAGAAGCAATAGCGCAACCGATTAATAAGTCATCTGTCGAAATGGAGAAAGCAGAGGCTGTTTTGGAGGAAGACGATGCAGAACTTTTCTCTTTACCCAAGGACAGCACCTCGAATTTTGTGGCTGACATGCTTGATAGTTTCGACTCAAAACTAGAACACGTTAAGGAATTCAGCCAGGCAAAAGGAGAAGAGTCAGCAAAAGATATTGTTCACGATCGTGAAGCTTTTGTACGGAAGGTGAATGAAAAATATAGAGAAACTGAGAATTTGGGAAAACAGCTAAGTGTCGGGATGCCGACGGTTGATAAAGATTTTCTTCAAAACGAAATATCCTCACTTTTGAGTGAAGCTGAGTTGAAAACAAAAGATGTGAAGCCAAAATCTGGTGGCGCTGTAGAAGAAGTGAAAGTACTTGTTGACGATAAAATTGTTGTTGCAAAAGGCTTGGTAACAAACATAACGGAGGACGTAAAATCGGCTAATGATAAAGTAAGCTTGCAAAAGGACCTGACAGGACTAGTAGACGAAATAATAGAAGAAGCTGGTACCGATTTAAGTGAAATTGGAGATAACGTGGTGCGAACTATGAAAGAAGCTGAAGGTGGTTTGAGAGCAGAAGCACATGACATGAAATTGGCAATCCAGGACGTCTCACAAATAAATGAATCAGTAATTCAAGATGTTGGATTAGTGAATGCAACCGAACAGGCTCGTTTACATGAATTCAGTAGCGAACTTAAGGAAAGTGCAAAAGATACCAAAAAAGGAGTTGGAAACTTCTTCAGCAAACTTGGCGGAAAACTGAGCACAAAAGATAAAGATGTGGAAAAATCGGCCAAGAGTTCCTCAGAGCTAGCTATAAAGCAATTAGAAAAAATAAGTTCAGATTGCGCTGACGTCAAGGATTTATCTGTACCTTACATCTCAGCAGCACAAGGGTCTAAACAACTGCAAAAAGACTCCTCCGCAGGAATTACTGTCAGTCGCGATGCAATCGAACGAAAGGTAGAAGAATCTATTACTGTTACTCAGGCACCAGTCAGTGCCGTTTCAGACACTTTGCAAGATGTTGCAAACGAAACTGTTGACGCATTGGCATTGGCAAAAGCTTCAACTAAATTAAGTCAAGAGCAAGTCTTTTCGGATATAGCTAGCGCAGAAGATATCGCTGCTGGTAAAGCTGCAGCGCTTAAAGAATCGACAGAAAACGCAGTTTCGGGAAATGAGTTGAAGATTGAAGCAGAGTTGGAAAATATTGTTAAGGATGCGAAATCCAAATTAACTGTTACAAAAGACGTAGCTACAGATTCCTTGTTGGAACTTAGTCCAACAATATCGGGCGAAGCAAAGGCAGCCGCAGCGGAAGCCAAAAAAGCAAAAAAGAAATCTAGTAGTTTTATAAGTAAATTGGGCAGTAAATTAACAGGCAAAAGCAAGGACATTCAAAAACTGAGTGAGTCTGTTTCGGCTGACGTCGAAGATGGGACAAAACTGGCTCTTGGTGAAGTGTCTCGGCAAGAGCATTTGGCAAGTGAACAACTAAAAGCTGAAATTGAGCAATCTGCTAAATTGCTGAGTGAAACAGCAGCTGTTCACAGTCCAAAAGAAGTTACAGACATCAAAGACCAATTTGTTTTAGCAACTGATAAAGTTATCGGAAAAGTTGATGAGGCGGAAAAATCACGCGAGAAAACTGCAGTTGTGGTGAAGGAAAGCGTTAACGATGAAATCAAACAAACAACCTCCGAATTAATGGAAGAAGCTGATAACGTAATTAAAAAAACTGGTGAGACATTAGCAGGAATTAAAGATGACATAAAAGACGGTAAAAAGAAATCCGGCGGATTCTTCAGTAAATTAGGCGGCAAAATCAGCGGCAAAGGTAAGGAGGCTGAAAAGTCGACAAAAGAGGCAATGGGAGAAGCCAAGCAAGAAGCAAAAGCAGCTCTAGATCTTATGGATTCAAACGTTTTTCCAGATGTGTCAGCAATTGCAATTTCCAGCGCAGCTGAGCAGCCTCTGCAAGTTGCAGATAAATTCTTACACAGAGGACAAAATATTGCCAACGAAGCAATGGCAGGCTTTGCAGAAAATGAACGGGCTTTTATTGAAAAAGAGCAAGCCATTATAGATCAAGGGCATCGTGAAGTCGCTCAATTCATCGGTTCTGCGCAACAAACCTCTGCCGACAGTAAAATGGCTCTTAGCAAAGGTTTAGAAGAGGTCGATGAGAATGCTGCAGATCTATTACACAGTGCTGATAGCAAATTATCTAGTGGTGTAAGTCACACTCAAAATACAATGAAAAATCTAGACCAGGCATTGAAATCTTCAGGAGCAGTTGCTGTCGAGACGCTGGAACATTTCGTTCAACCTACAGAAGAAATGCTTTCTGACACAACAAAGAAGTTTGACAAAAAGCTTAAAGAACAAATTCAAGAATGTGCCGAAACCTATTCAGATACCAAAAGCCAAGCTGAATATGATGTAAACATTCTGAGCACAGGGGCAGCCAATCTAATGTCTACAGTAGATAAGCAAGTTGACTTGGCGTTCGAACCAATCAAAGCCACTGATGGTAAACCCAAAGAAAAATTAAAAGGACGAGCCAAAAAGGAATTAGGATTTTTTGGACGAATTGGGGATACAATGGGTGGCAAATCTAAAAGCAGAGAGGGTAGCATGGAAGCAGCTGCTCCTGATACTGCAGTAGAGGACGTTTTTCCAAAGGAAACGCAAATTAATGAATCATCTAGTTTTCTTAAGAAACCTGGAGACAAGATTACAGGGAGAGGAACAGATACCTCAACTTTGGCTGATGATACTTTGGAAAAAGCATTACCACCATCTAGTGGTGAAGACGTCCAAAAAGTTCAAGAGGCAATTGACGATCTAAAGTCTACCTTCCAAGGTGGTAACTATGAGCCACCGATTGAAAATTCCAAACCTAAATTTTCTAAAATGTCGGTAAAATCAACTGAAATTCTTCCAAGTGGAGATTCTTCGCTTTTATTTGATCCGCATGACATATATAAAGGGGATGGTAAAATTCGTTTGGGGCAAATTAAACAGCGGACGACAGAATTTCTTGAAGCGGAAGCGAGTGAACACTTGAGGCAAATGCCTAGAACTGTCAGTGATTATGGCGAAGGGCAAATTAAAGAAAGCGAGTCGGGCAGAGGCAGTATATCTGAAGCAAATATTGACCTGTCGAATTTACCAAGTAATATTGACCAAGACGGTGCTGAAGCATCAGCATATATAACTTCGCCAGTGCTTGCTCGGAGAGCAGTCTCTCAAAGGTATCCAAAAGGCGAAAGGCCAGACGTTATAGAAATAAAAAATATGTCTGAGTACAATGCTTCCGACGCAACGAGATATGTTGTAACGGAACCTGAAGAAGTGGATCATAGTATATCAAACGCAGGTAAAAAGCCATTATTCCATATTGAGTCTGAAGACGATGACTCTTTAGATTTGAGAAAAGAGTCCATAGAAAGAAGTGATAGTACAAGATCAAACGTTCTTGAAACACTAACCGAGCGCGATGTGGATAATCTGTTAGATGACCTAACAAAAAATTTAGGAGATGCGCTTTCAAATCCCGCAGAAACGAAACAAACCGAAATTAGAACAGTTGGTGCTGAGCAGACATTACAAGAATATATCAAAGAGTCAGAATCGAACGTAGAACTCATCGAACAAAAGTTGCGTGACTTAGACAAAGCGTTAGATTCTCTTGAGGAAACCGAACGTGAAGTAGACGGTTCAAAAAAAGAAAAGAAACTTAAAAGGGTCGAAAGAAAGTTTGAGCGAATGGCTTCTGAAGTTTTGGAAGAAGAAGCCAAAGATGCAAAATCAAAGCAAATTGCAACTCCGGATGTCGAAGAAAAACGCGAATCTGAATTTCAAAGGTTACTTTCCCAAATCAGCGTAGAGGAAGTGTCGGACTTCCAGAAAGAGTATAGTCACTTATGGGACGAGAACACATTTTCTAAGAGCGAAGACTGGGGGTCTAAGACACCAGACAGTCAAGCAGATGCACAAGAACTCCCGAAAGGTAGATTTTAGATATTGCTTTAACAATTTCTGTCTCACTAATTCATCATTCACGCATAAACAGTAGTATCAATACTATCACGATTTTATTAATCAAACCCGCAGCATGCATAATCTTAATTCAGACCTTACTCTCGCTGTGTATTCTCTTCAATCCATCATCGGGAATCGCGGTCCAAGATCACTTTACTGATATTCCCTTCCTCGTAGGTGAAATTATTTACATGGGCCCTGTCAATCTTAATAAAGGTAAATTTATTAATCCTGGCGGGATCGAGGTCGATGTTATTCCTATTATGAAGAGTCCGTGCAGTACACCGAAACCAACTAAGAAAACCAATAAAAGAGCAAAGTCAGAGCTGGGCTTTTATAAAACACAAAAACTTGAAATAGAAGACGATAGAGGAAGTTTGCCCGATATGAAAAGTTCTTGCACAAGTTCATTGTACGATACAGTTCTGAAAATGAATCCAGAACGATTTTTAGGACGCAGTTTGCAAACTAGTAACGAATCGCTTGCAAGCACCTGTACCGACAGATTGTCGAGAAGCTTGGGCAGTACTGATTCTTTTCCTCAAAGAAGCATAATGGGAGCTGTAAAGCAATGGCTTGACAAATCTACTCCATTCAGCTCAACTGATAATATCGACAATCACAGCATTAGTACTAGCTTACATGAAACTATTGATAGCGTTTCTGTGCAAGATGATGAAGACATTATGGATTCAGTGTCGTTCTCAGATGATCGATCTTTATCTAAAAGTTTTATTCCTGATATCGTCATTTCCGCAGATCAAGAAAATAATAATGCGAAGCTAGTTTCAATTAAAAACCGAGATCATGACTTAGGTAATTAATCGCACTCTTTAGACAATAGACCCGGACGTTGGCGGGGCCCTATTTTTTGTTTTGATTTTTTATGCATGTTTGTTTACTACTAATACATTTTTCGAGTTTGCACAAGCAATCTTTGGCTTTTTATGTGTGTTTGGTTGGTTATTTAGTAATCATATCGGTGTTGTGTCAGTTTCATCCGATGGTAAGTCTTTTACTTTGGAAAGTATCGTCAACTAAATGAAAAGATGTACATGCCTTATTGACCCGCTTAAACTTAAATAATAATACACACTTAATTTTTCTTGTATCGCTAGATCCTGCTAACATTTAACTACATCTTTTTAGAAGTTAGCTGCGGACTAACCCATGCTGAGCCATCACTAACAAGTACTACCACCGTTTCATCCCCACCCCAACCAAAACCACGAGCTAGCAAGCCGGATATTCCTTTAGATTTAACTAAGGCTTTACCAAAAACTGATAAAATATTGTCACCTGTAAGAGATGACTTGCTTGATGATGAAGAAGGTGATTTTGCCAGTTATTCGGATCGCAAAAGTTTCTGGGAAAATGTTAGCAAAGACAAAACGCAAAAGAGGCTAAGCCTCCATGAAATCACGACATCCGAAAAACAAGTAATACATAGAAAACGCATTTCTATACATGAAATTGCTCAACCGCCAATACCTAAGCCTCGATCTTCATTGCCACCCACTGAAGAAGCAACCCATCAAACTAAACCAGGAGAAATTATAATTACCAAAGAGAAAACGGAGGCGGATATAAAATTAGATAAAGCCCTTGAAGCTGAAAACGCACATGCGCAACAAGAACTCACATCAATCATTGAAGGCATAGAAAGAGAAGATAAGCATGACAAGGCCATGAGTGAGTACCAAGCTTCGTTCCTTCCTCCCTCTGAGAGAAAGGAGCTTTTTAGAGTTGGCGATAAGTCCCAGCAAAGCTCTGAGCTGGAAAAAGATGATAGCCTAGATTCCGATAGAGCCCAAAAAGGCAGCAGTCAGCTGATTGAAAATACAGGCTATATTTCAGATAGCGAAGACGTTGAGAACGTAATATCTGACTCAGAAATCGAAGATCGAGTGCCTCAAATTCGGGAAAGGCAAATGAGCGTTTTTGCTCCACCGGTTATTCAACGCAAAACGATTTATGAACGCTCAGCTTCTTTGCCGACTGAAGACCTTTACGAAGTTTCCCGAAACTTGAAGCACTTGAAAGAGAAATATGAGCAGAAGATTCGAGATGATTTGATAGAGGAGAACTATGTTGGCGATAATGAGGAGGAATGTTCCCTCGAAAAGAAAACTTTAGCTACGATGCAAGAGGAAAGGATCAGCGTGGTAAAATCTTATGTTGATGAGGCGATGTCAAAAATGCACGAAGACTCGTCATTTGAAGAAAAGTCGTTTGTTCCTGTAAAAAGCGACAGTAGATTATTGGATTATTTTCCGGAGACGGAACTTCAAGATGAGGGCGAAGTTATAAGCGAAATTGCAATAGATCGTGACTCCGAAACAGCGAAAACATCCGTTAAAGATTTAGCAAAGAGTTTCGAAAAACAGATCAGTGCTGATATGCTTGCTCCTAAACCTAAATCTTCACCATCACCCCTGGAACTTTCAATCGATGAATCTACAAAATCCCGGGAGAAATCGGCGATGCATTCAACAGTTGAACAATCTTGCAGCACTCCAGACATCAATAAAGGTCCAGAGCGCACGGAATCTGATTCCGGTATATTATCGGATGGTCACGGCTACGAGAGCAGTCTTTCCAAGGACTCAATGGAAGTCCACGTAGACAAAAGTGAGCTGGAAGAGTCCGAAAAAACAGCTGACAATGAGCTAGAATCACTCTTTCAGATAAAAAGCCTGGAACTGGCAACAACAGAGCAAGCTTCCAAATCACCAGCTGAAGAAATTCCTGAAATCACAGTAACGCTTTCCGGTAAGCAAAGACGAATTAGTGAAGAAAGTGATGAATATGCTGATAAACCAACGTGTGCCAAAGAGGATGGCTCAGCCGCTGTATCTACAGATATACCAGAAGATTTGGAAGAGTCAAAAGATCTGGTAGCATCAGTGGTCCAACAATATGAGGAAAAGGTTCAAGAAACACTTTGGGAAGCTGCTGTGGAAACACAACCAAATCTAGAGGAAAAAGTCGATGTAATATTCGGACTGAAAGAGAAAATTCAGTTAACACAGGAATTTATTGCAACTGAGAAAATACTGGAAGAAAAACAGCAGTTAATTGCAGCAACGCAACGAGAAGACAAATTCGACATAGACGACATAGAGGGACTGGCATCTGTTGAAGAGGATGAATATGCTCAAGTCGAGCATATTGTAAAAAGGCAATCAGTGACAGAGTTTGAGAAGCTCGAAGAACAATTTAGAGAGAGCCATGTGGAAAGTGAGTCCTCGGTAACCTCATATGATAAAGTTAAACCCGAAATCTCTAAAATCAAAGAAAACATTTCGGAGAAGCTTACAAAAGAACTTCATGAGAAGCTTAACGAAAAAGTTAAATCCCAAGATATCATAATTGAAAAAGCTGTATCTGAAGAAGTGGACGATAAGAGTTTGGACGATCTCAAAGATTTGATGGTAGAAGAAGCGTTTGAAGAAATACAATCCAGCAAACTTGCCGCCGAACACGACAAAACTGTATATCAAATTCATGATAGGGATGATGAGCTAAGCAGTAGTGGTATTCGAGAGGAATCCGATTTCGGATCAGAAATTCACATGGACCATTCAGATTCCATTGCCTCAGATCGGATTAAATCTGAAAGCCACAGCGAAATTGAGAAAATAATTCTCGATACATTCCAACACATGAAAGTGGATCCAGACGAAGCAAAGAAAATCGCTTCCCAGCTAATAGAAGAGATAGAGAGTGAGCTACAGAACCGTGGTGAACTGAGTAAATCTGAAGCATCTGAACAGTCTAAACTGTTTGATCCAGAAATGTCCACGTACATTAAACAATTGGCAGAAACTAATGGTCTAGATCAGCGCGAAGTAGAACTGGTCGAATCAGTGCTCGCCAGAAGACAGAGGGAACTAGCTAAGTTAGCCAGAGGAGATACGCAAGCGTCCAGCATGGAAATTACAGACGAAGACTTGCGATATAGCGGCGGTGAACTTGCAGATTACACAAATACTCTGGAGCAGCAAATCGGACAGTTGGAAGCTGAAAAAATTAACGATCTTGTTCTTGAATATGATCTGCAAGACAAAGATGTCAACTTCCATGAGAAAACGGAATCATTTGAGAAATTCGATGAAAAACATAGCATGGAAAAACTTTTCTCGGAAGACTCTGAAACTTATAGCGGATCGGACACAAGCAAAACCAAAAAGGATATTGCCTTAACAATAACGGATAGTATTAAAGGCGAGCGAAGCTACATTGAAAACAAAAACGTCATTCTTGAAGAAGATGAAACAGTTTCTGAATCTAGTACAGAGGACCATTCCAAAATCAAAACACAAAGTGACGCGTTGGTATCTGAAGTTGCACTGACTCACGAAAACGAAAACGAAATCAGTTCTGTTAAATCTGGGCTTGTGTCATCAGGCTCAGGTTATCGTATGGATATTCAACAAGAGAAGAAGGAAGTCAAAAGCGATAAAATTGATGAGAAACTTTTCACCAATAAATTTAACGAACAGGAAAGCACAAGTGTCGTGGGCAAATATACTGCTGATCGTACTTCAAAGGAAATTACAGACGACTTTTTAAAAGAAGAAATATCTTTACTCGATAGGGAATACGAGGAATCAGTCGTACAAGAGCAAGTACACCACAAAGAAGAACTAAGCAAAATTGAAATTCTTGATAGTGGCGCAGAGGTTTGCACCCAAATTATAACTGATAAACAGCATTTCAGATCCAGTTCCGAAGTAATTGTTAAAGACAAAAGCAATGAAAAAATTGTGACTACTTCATCAAAGGTGCTTGAAGGCGCCGATCTTATTAAACTTTTGGACAGTGATGAACCATTTGCTACGGATATACTTCTATCAAAAACACAAACAATTCATCGAGGATCAAGCTCAGAATCAAAATCTAGCGCAGATTCGGGAAAATCTCCCGACAAGAGACACGAGTCTTTTACTAAGGAGCATGTTGTCCTCCGAAAAACTAAATCTGAAGTTGATAGCAGCAGCAGCAGCTCAAACCTAAAACCAGACAGACGCTCTGCTGTTGAGCTTGAAGCATATTCAAGTTCTGGCGAAAGTCACTATCAGAGCTTTGAAATGGACAGTGGAAAGAGCAGACCGTGCTCTTCGGATGTGGAGGGAGTAGTTGCCGCAGCATCGTCAGAATATGAAACCGCCTTAACATCTACACAAGAATATTCCTCAAAGTCCCATGTTACGTCCGGCGATTATCATACAGCAATAAGCAGCCTTAGCTCTAAGGAAAGCATGAAAAGCTTAGATAGTGAAAGTTCTGGAAATTTGGCCAGTGTGGAAGTATCGGAGCATTCAGAGACATTGGTTCCATCTAGTAGTGATATGGAGGGCGATATTCTTGAGTCCATTGATCAGCAACTACTAGAAGACGGTGACCTTTCTTTTAATTTGGACAGGCATGGAAAGCCGGGCCGGCAAGTTTCTGATCTTACCGATTCTGATATGGTCAACGAATCTATCGATATCTCAGAAGACGACCAAAATGAATTAGATGGGAACAATTTAGACGGTATTTCAAAAATGAAGCGTTCAGCGGAGATGACTTTCCAACCAGAACCAAAAGCTTTGGTTCCCGAATCTGCTCAATTGGAAGTTAATGATATTGAAGAGAAATATGGGCAAAGCTTAGACGAAGGTAGTATTTTAAGTGTAAGTGTTTCCAGCACTTCAAGCACGGGAGCGCAACGAACTGTAATTGAAATTTCTGATCGAAATGAGGGCAGCATGGCTGCGTCGGGAATTTCTGAGCATCATAGTTTAGAAGATAATGAGCAGACAATAAGAGGCAGTCAGGAGAGCTTACCGTTAACCCCAACGTTACAAAAAAGCTGCGACATGGGAACATCTACTCCACTATCAAATGCAGATATTCCTATAGATCAAGTAACAATAACTACATCATGCGTAAAAGAATTTGGAATTCACAGCGCAAGCACGCAAATAACATCAGAAACTAGCGATCCTTTAGATAACACAATGGGAAAAGTCACTTTAGACGAACCCCGCCGCAAGGGCCATAGAAGAACGGAAAGTTCAATGATTGGCATATCATTGCCACCGCTTACCTTGGACGCAACTTTGAAGGATTCAATCACCTCTGAGAGGAAGGAAAATGATATGTCTGATTCAGAGAAAGATATTGATGAGAAGGAAGTCTGTCCAAAATCTGAAACATTGACTACTAGAGAAGACCTAGACTCAACTGGACTTCAATCTAGTTTCAGCACGTCATATTCGGACAAAGTTAGAATAAAGGAATCGGAAATCCAAGAGGCAATCAAATCTGATATTATTTCAAAAGATGATTCATTAGAAAGATCACTTAGTCCGGACCTGCAAGACTTTATAAAGTATGATGCCTCTGATATCACTATGGGCGACTCGGAAGGTCCATTTTCTTCAAGATTCAAAGAATCAGTTGAATTTCAAAGGAAACGGTCAACTTCCAGCAGCATATCAGATACGCCAAAGGAAATATTGGAGAAACGAGACTCCCATGGAAAGTCTAGCGCCACATCAAGCGAAAAGTCAAGCTTCGAAGAAGCTGAGGCTGAAGCAGCCTTCAATATGGTAGCTCACATTTCCCCTGCTCATAAGGTGAAACAGATAATACCTATTTTAGAAGACGAAGACGCCGAAAAGCGAGAACTGGAATTGCGAGAGAAACAACGAAAGGAGATTGAGCATAAGCGGGCTGAAATACGGAGCAAAAGTCCAGGCTTTATTCCTGACATCACTGTTACAGACATGACTCCAGATTCCGATCGTGAGAGCGTTGAGGGAGAACAACAAATTGAACCAGCCGAAAAAGATGAAACCTCGGACGTAACGAAGGAGGTTGATGATTCATTTGAAAAAATAACTGAAGGAAGCGCTGCAATGCAGGAATGCATTAGCAGAGATCTTGAAAAAGGAAGTCAAGAATCATCTCCACAGGATCCAATACAAGATGACATATTAACATCTTCAATGATGCAATCAACATTAATTGACTCCGTTGTAACGGAATCTACTACCAGCGACATTTTAACGGTAGTAGAACGTCCAGCTTCTACTGAAGGGGAAATTGATTCTCAAAGCAGCGATTCGTTTGAGATGCTAGAAAAACCTGATATAATAGATGACTTTGTTGTAATTGAAGAAGTTGCGAAAGAAGCTCGAGAATTTGATACGGAAGGCCAAAGCGTGAAAATTGATAAATCAGCCAAAAAAGTTAAAAAACACGATGAAGAAATAGAAAGATATTTAGCTCATTCTGCTCCCACACCACTGACTGGCACCCATTCTGCTATTGATGAGTTTGGGTTCGCATTTGAAGACAGCCCGCCTAAACCGGATGGAGATGGAGCTGTAGCTTCCACAAGGGAGTATGGTTATGAATACGATCGGGAATTGGAGGCAAATAAAAAATGGATCGAGCAGCAGTTTCAAGGAGACCAAGCTGCAATGTTAGCTGCTGGATATGGCTATGAAATGGAGTTTGAGCGAGGGCCACTTGAGGATATCAAAGAGGAAGATATTAATGACTTTGCGGCATCCAGCTACGGTTCTCAAAAGGAATCCGGGGGAAGTCTTGGAAGCGTCAAAGATTCATACTCAAGTACTCCTGATTATGATGTGTTAGCTGGCCGTAAATATTTCACTCGCTCCGGAGAACAAGATGATATTTCCATGAGCAGCTTACAAGAGTTTGAAAATCTTGAACAGGCGATGTCGTTGGAAATGCGAAAGTTTCACCAAGGCCAAAATTCTGACTCTTCAAGTAGCGGTAGCTCTAAAACCAGATTCCATCACGGCAAAAACAACATTGGAGATGATATTTCTGTTAGTTCCCTCAAGGAGTTTGAAGGACTGGAACACGCTTGTATGCAAGCACATAAGATCGAAGTAAAAGCAAAAGAAGAGGAGGCGTTACTCATTCAAATTGAAGAAGGGCAAGAGAGTATAGCTTCGGAATCTGAAAGCTGCGAAACTGTGGGCACGGAAAAGAAAGCGTTAGACACAGAAGAGGAAGAAGATTATGAGAAACGAATGTTTGAAATCGATGAAATCATCAAGCAAGCTCAAACCAACGTGGAGAGGTTTATTGATCTCAGAGAAATGGAGAAGACTGAATCTTTGGGGCGCGGCGATTCTCTGGAGGAGGTTTCTAAAGTGCCGGATTTGGAACATGACAGTATTCCGGTGAAATCCACTATCAAAGTACAGTGGAAAGAAAATGACGATGTAATAATTGCATCTTCAGACTCTCTTGATTTTAAGCAAGAAGAAGATCGTCGCGATAGCGCAGACAGCTTAGATGCCCCGCAAGTTGTTGATATTATGACAGCCAGTACCGATTCCATAGAATTTCAGGCGCAAAAGCCCAAAGACACGATAATGACAGATTCTATGGAGATAAAAGATGAAAGGCGAGACATGGTATCTAGCGACTCACTCGAACTAGGACAAGCTACTAGTTCTGGTTTGAATGTAATTCAAACTGACTCTATTGAAGAGGATGTATCGCGGGTCGGAGTTCATGATCACAGTAGTGCGAGTACTGGAAAGGACTTTAGTTCTTCAGCGAGAGAAGATGCGTTTGCTGAACATGATTTTGAAAAGGATGATATCATGCTTCGCAGCATTGACAGTATGGATCGTACGAGTTCAACAGCCACCCATGCAACAATGCATGAAACCGATTCCGTGTTTTCGGGCAGCTTTACCAGTGGTGGTTCAAACACTATGGTGTCGTCTACAGATACGGTTGATGCAATGCCATACAAAGAAATGGTTGATGTGGGTGCAGCCGTACGCAAAGTGTGGTTTGATGAAGATATTTCCGGAAGGCGCACTGCCGAATATGTGGAGGAGTCAAGACCGTATGTATCAGAAACTATTCAACCTTTAGCAGACGACGACTTTTCCCACGTAATCCACCGTAAGGTGGAACTACCTCCTGAAGTCCATAGAATTACATTTACCGGACAAGATGCAAATGAACAATTGCAAAGATACATGCAGAACTTTGACGATGGCGAACAAGTCGAAGAAACACAAGACATTGATGAGCATGGCAATGTACATACCAAAAGAGTTGTCCGAAGGAAGTTTATAGTTAAAGGGGGTGAAGGTGAGCACCCCATGACTACTGAAGACATTGAAGACTATTTCAGGCAACTGAATGAACCTGAGGTTGTACAGGATAGGGGAATTATCACCCGAACGACAGCGGAAGGTGTTTTTACTCAGGAAATTTTAGATGGAAAGGAGAGCACTAAGACTACATTTACCCAAAAATTCGATGTTCCTTCCTCAGAGTACGCTTCACTAATACGTCCAGGTTTGTTGCTCCGTTTACTTTTTGGAGTATCTTTCAACCCTGTATCTTTTTATCTTTATGTAAACATTATTTTCCAGTAGTTAAGGTTTTCTTTCGTTCTTCCTCACCTCACCTAATCACTTGGTTGGTAAGTTATTATTTTTGGTTTGCATGGTGTTTGCAGTGCATGATAATAATTTTAATTTTACTTACCCAGATTTTTTCTATTAAATGGGTCACCAATGACTTTCTATGAATGATGGTACTAAGTCATTAGTGAAACATTCAAGTATTGTATAGAAGATAAATCATTTAATTATATATGTTTTATAGGTGATGATCAAGCTCAATCAGTAGAATCTCAGCAAGGACCCTCTTCAGCAAAAAGTAAGATATTTCAGTATTTCAGTTTGTACTAGTGTTAATTAAATAGTGGTACCACTCTGGATCACATAAATGAGAAGACTGTCATATCAGGATTTAAGGTTTTCTTATAGTTTTGCAACATTTGGTTTGAAAAGTTCAAATAAATGCCCCAAGGTTTCTTAATTTTGCAGAAAGCTTTGTTTATAGCCGCTTCGCATTCTAGGATTAAATTAGAGCCAGTTACGAAAAAGGAAGTGTTAAATGGCATTATAAAGGGTATCCCGGAATATGTGGGCATGCTCTCGGATTTGTACAGCGGCGTTAAAAAACATAATAAAAAAATAAAATACAGTTTTTATAACAAAATTGCCAGAGGGCCCCCCTACGGAGATACAGGCCAATAATAGCCACCTAAGAACCTAGGAGAATAATTCATACAATTTAATTATTTTTTCATCCAATGAACAATATATCATTGCTCTTAAAAAGGACCCATGAGAATATTTTTAGAAGTTAGGTTTGCCAAGCTTGGAATAGGTGGAGCACAATAATAGTTAACTTTTTCTTGCAATGGATTCCACCAATGCATACAATAAAAGCCGTATTCAATAAAAATATTTTTTCCTCTAAAACCGTTCTGTTTATCGATATGAATCAATAGCGCCTTTTTTTAGTTTTAGGTTAATGCTACCTAAAAACATTATTTTCGTGTTTTCATTGTACAGGGTAGAAAAAAAATTTACCATTATAGTGCTCCACCTAGCCCATCCCTGGCAATCCGAAATGCTAAAACTGTTTTCATGGGTCCTTTTTAAGAGCGATGATGTACTGTTCATTGTATCACAAAATAATTAAATTACATAAAGTATTCTAAAAGTTAATTTTAAAAACTCGGTTTTCAGATGGGTCCTTTAGTGGCCTGTATCTCCGTAGTCTCTCTCCGCCCACTGAATTTTTTTTATAGAAACATTTATGCAGAAGAGCATGCCCACATATTCCGGAACGCCCTATCTATTGTACGAAGGGTTCCGTATTTCTGGTATCAACCTAATTGCTGATTTACATATGTGAACACTTATGTGAATAATAAATAAAATCTCATATTATAATAAAAATGAAACTTTTCCAAGGAATTAAAACTTATCTAATATTATTTGCCAAAACCAATATTTGAAGAAAGTGGCGAAAATAAAACAGAACGCATAGTACATTAATTTTTGGTCCTCTTAAAAAGTTTGGCAAAAGTCGTTTGCCAATATTTCACTTGGATCTTATCAATACATCAGATGTATTCTATTAACTTGAATGTGTATAGATACACTAACAAATTGTTTCCGACATTATGGAAAAAATCATAACAAATCAATTAAATTAGCAAATTGAATCATTTGCAGATTTTTATGTGGAATTATTAAAGAAACTTAAAGTGTAAAAAATATCAACATAATAAACCGACTGCCATATTTCAAAAAGCAGAATGTTTTAAAATTATAAAAGCGTTGAAAGCTTTAGAAACTGTAGTTCTTGGCGAAATTATATGCAAAACCATGCAGAACGCTTTGTTCAACAAAAGATCAACATACTTAACGAATATTTAACAGTTGGCTTTGAAACATTAGCAAAACATTTCTTTTCATTGATTTTGAAATTTTTCTCCACTTCCGAAAAGCAGATGGTGTTTTATTATGAAAATGTGCTAATTAAATGTTGATTAACATTAGGAACAGGGGAGTTTGAAAGATAAATATTCTGCTAACAAAACTCTTGAAAAATTATTGTCACTAGCAGTCATAATTTGAACAATATTTACCTAAAAGCTCCTCATTAATTAGTTTACCTATAAAATGATAGAGTTAAGCTAGAATAGTAAACAATTTTATTCAATGCTATAGCTTCGGTAACCCGTAGAAGGCCATTTCGTTATGAAATCAGCATGGAAGACCAAACTGAAGTTAATCTAAGGGAACACGATTGGCGTTTTAACTTGCCACGATATGGTAGATAGATTTACGTCGTACAATTTTACACCTCACATTTTAACACGAATTTTAAAGCAAATGAGGTCTTAACAGCAAATAAGTTTATGAGTTCATGAAACAAGAGAATAAGTATAATACTTTCAATCAACAAATAAGTTGTAGTATTGGTGCAAATTACGGTGTTAAATTTTGAAAGAGACTCCATTTGCTGAGCAAATTCCTATGTCGTACTTCACTATTGTGTAAAAGTAAAGTGTTTCTCTACTATTCAACTTTACTTTATGAAATTTCGAACTTTATAAAATGTTGATCCTATTTTTCCTTCTTCCATTGAACTGTTCAGTTACGAATTTGTGGAGAAACATTTTATATTATTTTTGGTATCCTTCCCAGGCCTCACAGATATCCTTGGAAGACATCGGCCCTATTGAGCATGACCCCGATATACATTTTTCATACGTGGAGCGTCTCAACGTTTTTTAATTTTCCTTTTTTGATATTTGTATCGTTCATTTTTGTACTACGTTTAGATTTTTAATCTGGGTGTATCGTTCTATATCATTTTGTTATTTTTTTGATCAACTTCTACTTCGATTCGTTTTGTGTGTGTTTGAAAAGCCTTTAAAATCGTTTGGTGCATGCACATGGCCAGGCAATGTTACATATGACGATTTTAAAAGGTGGCAAACATTTCTTTCCACTGTTGTTTCTTCGTATGGCATGAGCTCAATGTGTAATTTTTGTAGTCTTATTAATTTTTTTACCGCAAAAGTTGAAGGTATAATGTTTCCATTTTTTTCAGCTGAATCTGAAGAAGGTCAAACAAAAACGGAAAAGGATAAAACAAAGTAAGTGAAATACATAAAAAACTGTTAAATTGCCTTTCAATATTCGCATTCGCATTTGGACACTTTATTGAAGTTATTTTGACAAAAAGAAAACCTCAACTAAACAGACAAAGTCAGTATTGAAAATAAAAATCAATTTTTTGCCTGATTATGCATTTAGCATTGCATTGCATACATTGCAAAAAGTGTCCAGATATCGCTTCACATCGTTCTCTTAAGAACATTTTTTAATTATGTTTATGCAACATTTTAAATAATAAGGTATTTCAAACAATTTTGAAAATTGTTTGTTAAAACTAATTTTTACATTAAAACGCGATTTCATTTTGCACTTTTTGTTGGTATATTTGGACTCTAAAGTTTTTGGCGAAATTAACGAGATTTAATTTGCAGAAAAATAACGGATCAGCACCTATTATCTGAGGAAATGAAAGAACTACTCAAAGACCTTGAAAAAGATAGCAAACATTAAAGGACTGACTAAACGAAAACCCAAATACACTATTAGCGATAATTCAGAAGTTACCAGAAAATACTCCCGACTATTGACGAAATACTTTACGTGCTCGAACAAGAATTATTATGAATATTATTGAAAGTCATTTATTTAGGTTAAGGTTTATAGCCTGGAAATATGGAGAAGAATTATTTAAATCGACGATTTTACTCGAAGCTATGAATTATAGGTGAAGCTATAGCTTTAAGTGCTATATATTTACGCAAACTAATTTTTGCTTGCCGTAAGTTTAAAGTTGCCAGTATGAACTTCCAGGTACATAAGCTTTTTACCACTAAGTTACCAAAAACTTGTCCACGCAACTTGTTGGTGTCCGAACAAAAATTCCATTTTAAACAAAACGTTTTTGTCAAGCACTTGAAAAAATTATTATAAAGTTGTTGCTAATTTAGCAACTGTGCTAGTTGAAATCTATGTTTGACTGAAATCTCGATGGACACTTTAAACTTTACACTAAACTTAGTCTAGGTAGCATTAAAATACCTATTTTATTGTGCAATTTTTCATTCAGTAATCATGTTTGTATAGAAGCTATTTTAAATGTTGACGCTTCGAGATTTGTTGCTTTCGTATGAGTATTGAACTGCTTTTAAGTAATAAATTAGGGTAATAGGTAGTATTTAAAATGTGCAACAAAACTCGGAGTTAATAAGTAGAGAAAGAGTACTTATTTTAATAAAAAAATTCATGTTGTAAGTAACGATAACTTACGATTATATTTTTATTGCTTATGTGTTTTTGTTAAAGCTGTTATTTTTATAAATCGATTTTATTGTAAGTTAAGGTTACCTGATTATTTGTATAAAATGAATTATTTAAATTACCGATGTATAATTTAGTTGTAGCTTTATAGTTAATAATCATTTGCGTTGCTCGTTTTGCATTAAGAATAGTTTAGTGGTTTTTACTATTTTAAGTGTTGTCCAAATGGCAAGAAACGAGCGAGGCAAACGATGTTTATTATTTATTCAACTCAATGTGAAATACGAAGTATTTAATCTATGTATCAAGAAATATTTCAACGTCTAAACATAAAGCTTTCAATAAATTATGAGCCTGGTTTTATTTCCACCATTCCCTAAATCAGCCCAGAAAATATTTGGTTTGCCGTTATTTCATAAAAACAATTTTTGGTCGCCCTCTACTGATGCTTGCCACCCAGCCTCATGTGATGGGAGCATCTATTTCCTTCTTCAATAATTTTGTGTCAAGTTTCTGGTATTTCAACTCATGAATCTCAGTTTTTGATAGGCATCTCGAAGCGCGTTCGTTGTCATTTCGAAAGACAGCAGAAAACTTTTGTTAAGTTGTTGAAAATTTCAAATTTTTATTCAATATACTCAATAATTTCGCTTTGGCCAATCTTTGCCTCTAAATGAATTCCTAGAAAATAGAAAATTTTTGAGGGTTTCCAGTATTCACCGTCCACACAATAAGATAACGCAGAGAAAGCACATTGCGAGCTACAGATGCTTAAGTTGTCCTTACTTAAAACCTTTATAATTTGGAGATATCGCAACAAATTTTAATCTCAAAATGTGATCTTTTCTCGTTTTTTCCAGAATATCCATTATAAATATTGGTAGCTACATTTTCTTTCGCTAAACCTGGTTCATATTTCTACTTTGATATCTTGAATTTTCCCTTTACTAAGCACTGTGCGTTTGGTTTCTACTGAGCGTCAGTTGCAAGTCGATCATCTATAATTTCGTGAACGTAATCGACCGCTCTTCGATATTATCCACCAAAAAAACAGTATCATCTGCATTGCGATTATTATTGCTTACATCGACCAATTTCTTCAGGGTATAAGCAGAACCGCACTGGCCATTGGACGCAGCCGTCTTTCACACCTTTAGTAAGTAAATTCCAATTTAAAAAAATCTAGTTCGATTATCCTTTATATCAATTTTCGAACGTCGTAGGTATTATACGTTTGGCGTGCTTGCAGAAATTTATAAAATTTTAATATTAAAGAAAAAGTCACCACAAAAGGATCAGCCAAACAATATATATACAACCCGGATATTTAATTTTCGGAGAAAATGATCCAATCGTTTATTCCTTGAGAAGGTGGAAAGGTGAACCAAAAGGATATGGTGAAACAAGAATTTGCAGCAACGAATGACCCATCCAACTCGTACAGGGAACGGCTGTTAAAATTTGTTGAAAACAGAAAATGAGCATGCAACTTTTATCATAAAAGCACAAAATAAACGCGACAATCGCAGATCGGTGGGATTTCTTGTTTGACCTAAAGCTTTTCCCGTCTGTGTATGTTTATTTTTACTTACTTTGATTTGCTAGTACAGTTTCATTTGCATACTTATCATTAGCAGGTAAATTGTAAAACTGAGTGAACACAAGATGGTCTAAATGCTTACCTGGAAAGAAAAATGTCTTGCAATATTTTCCATGAAGAATAAGAACACACAGATTAAAACGAGACCTTCTAATTTTGGCTAAGAAAAAGTTACGGATATTTGCTTGACCCTAGTGTTTTTAAGGTGCTGAACGTTGGGGGTTATTCTTATAATCTGGCCATCCCAAATTTCCTATATGAAGAAATCGAATGGTATTAAATCGTATGATTTCGATGGCCAATGCACGTCTGTTCGTCGACAAATTATTTGTTTATTAAGTGTTTTTTACATTAAAAAGATTGATTGACTACGTTAATATGTGGTATTGTCCTTGTTATTGCACTGTCCTATTGAAACCTCATATACAATTTTGTGAAATCTTGTAATTAATTAAACAAACGTTGGAAATCATCTCTCAGTTATAGAGTTCCATTAGCAATAATGGGCCCCTCGGTTTACTTTTCGAAAACCCTCGTACCAACCGCACAAAAATTCACTCAATTATAAATTCTCCAGTATTTTAGTCAGTCCAAATGGACTGACTATGGTTTGGTATATTGAAGTGCCCGCCCATTTCAACACAAGTCTTAATGGCAAAGATGAAATTCCGAAAAATATTCGTAATTTCTGTTGTTCTTCTATTATCCAATTAACGATTTCTCCACAAAATGGGTAGTTGTTTTAATTATTGTTTGTCAAACGCTATTTTCAAAACTCTATACATACCGATGTATTAAATATTTCCAATCGAAATTATTCTACATGTGTACTTGTCAGGGTTAAGGAAATAATGAATTGCCAAACATTTAAAGTGTTAATTCTTTGTAAAAGAGGTTAAATAGCAGAACATTGATTTGTAAGTTCAATCCTCATCAACCTCACCAAACAGCACTAAAAATACACGATTTGGCAATTAAATATTTGCGTTGCAAAACTCACAAATTAATATTTTTTTTTTCAAAATAAAAGTCAATAAGTAATATTCGATATGAGCTGCATGTAGAAAAGGCTGACAATTAACAGACGGCCATTCAAAAAAGACAAATATGCACGAAAACCAAATTACCGCAACCATGACCGATAAATAACCAGTTTCGCCGAGTAAGTATTAAAGTAATTACACTTCATTATACTGATCTTCGAATTATTATTCGCCGAAGTTCTGTTTTGCCAGCGCAAAGCATATTATTATGAAGCCGCATTGTTCAGACAGTCAACCGGTTGCAGCCAAACTTCTGTAAACACATATGCCGCTAAAATTTAATCCTTGTTCAAATTTATTTTCATTATTTTCAGCGCATACAGTATTATGAAAAATTAGTCCGTTGTTCGAGTTGAACAATTAGAATTGTGAATTATAGAGGGAATAAAGTTTTTGCTCGAATGTGAGTTTCAGCTCGAACTACAAAGCGGGATTTTGGTGTGTAATATTCAGTTCGCTGCTAATTCCCGATTATTAGTAGGGAAGTGAAAAAAAAGGAGTTCTTACGTGCCCATCAGGGAAATATAATTTTGCTACGATTTGCTTCAATTATTTCAAGCTGCGTCTGGAACAGCTAAATTAAACATTTTAATTTCCGATTTTACTAATCGCTTATATGTTCGAAACGTTAATTATTTATAACGGATGTGTGGTGGGAAACGTCTAAAGCTATTCAAACTTTAAATAGTTTTTTATTTAAATTTATTTGTTAAAGCAGAAATACAATATATTATTAATGAACAAATTTCAGCACAATGTTGTTCAAAGTGGATTAAAATATTTTATGAATAAAATTGTTTTATTCCGTCTGTTCGTCAATTCAGCTTAGAAGTTGTAACCAGTATTTGTTTTAGAAGGTACATATACGTTTTGTGTGCTCATTTATGATGGAAAACAAGGCATGCCTAAGTTTTGGAACACAGGTTTGTCGTTGTTTCATAAACACGAATTGCAGTGTCGAATTAAATTTATATTGAGTAAAATTAATAATATAAATTGATTTGTACTGTTGTGGTTGAATAAACCGATGTTTTTAAAATATCTCCATGAATTTGTGACTAATACATCTAAAATATTTGTCTTCACCCACAAGTTGTTATAAATTGATTGCATTATTTTGTGAGCAAAAACTTATGAAATGTGAAGAAAACTGTTTATCCATGAGCCAATGTGAAAACTAAACATACACTCACTTCTACAATGTTAAATTTTCCTAAAGAAAATACGCATTTTCATCAATCATTGTCCTATACCTTTATGTCGAACTTTTTTCTATGAACTTAAGTCTATATTGTCCCTTGTACGAGACCCTAATATTGTCCTATCTCGGACGTCTAAGGCAGTTATTTATAAGATGGATTATTGCTAGATGTTAAAAATGGAATATTTCCATTTTTTTCTCTGTAATATTTTGGTAAATATATAATTATCGGGGGAAATTTAATTCATAATAAATCAACCACAAAAACGCAAAAAAAAATTGATGAATTTGAGCTCACCATCATCATCTCATAGTTCATTAAAATACGGCGAAAATATTAAAGTTTACTAGATTAATTCTGTATATCTCGGCAAAATAGGATTTAATAACTGACGGCAAAACTAATTAAAGAAATAGCTAGACAATTTCACATAACATGTTTGAACATTATTAGCCGTTATTTTCAAACGATCGTCGCATTTGTAGATTTATATTTGATAAATTCCAGAAAAATGGCAGATGGTTAATAGACTGAGAAAGGCGTTTAGTAAAATTGAGGCCAAGAATGCAAATATCTAATTCTCATCTCGGTTTTTTTTTAAATTAAAGTTGTGAAAGTTTTGCAGCCACAGCTTGCAAAATGCCTACCGGAATGGGGCCATCGAATGCTCCAAATGAAGCCACTGTGAGAAAATTAATGGAAATTTTTAAGCAGACTGGGCCCTTCAATGACGCTAACGCAAAGCACGCGTTTATCATGATGGTTTGACTTAAAATGTAGCAGCAGTAGATATATGGAAATGTTGAGAAAAGCCCATCCACGTCAACTTGCGCACAAAGTTAAATTAGCTCAATAGCAAGATCCGGAAGTCTACGCGCAATGGAGACCCGTTGCTGATTGGTTTATTTCAACAAAAATCATCTTTAGTGACGAGGTCTACGTTTGGTCTAAGTTGAGAAATTGCGCACTTGAGTGAGTCCAAAAATCCACGAGTGATTCCTTAGAAGCTACTTGGTTGTTGTTCATTGTGGGCTAGAATCATCATCATTGAACCTTGAACCACTTCTATTCGAAAATGTAGTTGGTCAAGCCTGATCAGCGCACATGTATATTTCATTTAAAATTGAAACCCTTTAAAATGTTCTTATTGTGCTAAAGAAAAATGCAGATAAATTAAATTGCAGTCGAATTTTTCAAACTCAACTGCAAGAGCTTTTATCCGTCAGTATCCTGAAACGAAATCCCACTTCATAACTTTCTATCGCAAATTAATCTCATGACATAGTTGAAAAGAACAAAGAACTTTCGAAGTTGGATTACGAAAAGTTAAATTATACGTCTATTTCAGTTTATTAAAGCCAACTTACAAAGATTTACGGGCTTGTTCCGTAAACACCATTTCCACTGTGTCATTTACGGTCTTGGAGAAAATGTTGCGGATATCCTTCATTAATTTGCCAACTTTAAGTAGTGGAACATTTTTTTTCAAATAATGCCCCATTTCCAATATGCGAACCAAATACACAATATAATCACAATTAAATTTAATACGCTTTGTAATGAACAATAATGTCAATAATCGAAGCCAGCCTGTTTGCACATAATGCTCTTTTCGCTCTATATTTCTCAATTTGGACGGTTGAAATGCAGCAGTAAAGCAATTTTTCATGTGGATCAAAAGTAATTATTTGTAATCCATCCAAAGATTGAATTTAAATGCAATATGTGATCATTGAAAATGCGGTGGTGAAAATCAGGAAATAATTTGCTAAACACTGAATTGAAATTCTGATGAATAGGCAAACGAATTTTGCTGACCATTTACTTGCAAAACATCTGCGCTGTGGGTCCTAATTTTCCTGGAAATTTAACAAGCTGGATGTTTGATTATTATTTTATATAAACGGATAGAAACCTTATATTTCGCGAGATTTTGCAGGACTATTTTTTTAACTTTGCGATTAACAGGTTCTATACTTATTGCATAATATCGCAGATACAAAGTTTACATCTTGGGTAGGGGAAATTCCTAGTGTTTTAGAAAAGATCCATTAACATTAAGCGAAAACCGAATACAAATATGGAGCAAACAATTTCAGTTTCGGAAAGTGCCCAAAAAATTCAAATTCCGTTCAAAAATATAAACTTCGTATATATATCATTCGCGTTAATTTACGGAAACTCATAGATACCCACTGACTGTTAGGCATTAACTTGAAGAATCAAGTTTCTATTAAAGCTTGTATCCAAAATTATGGAATTTGGCACAACACAGAAAGCAATGCTTTGCTCTAATGAACGTTGATTGATTCCTAAAAATTGATCACTTTTATCCACTTCAACGTGAGCTATTCTGTACAAATTTGGTCTTATCACGACTGACTAGTTTAGTTGTAGTCTGTGCCATGGTTTTGCTTCATATTGCAACTGTTGACAGGTTTTTAAAAAATAATGCCTACTTTTACTGCATCAAATAATTATCCTTAAGCTATTCCGGTGGCTAATGAAAAATTATTCATGTTGCATTGTCCACGACAGAAAGCCTTCAAAACTTTTATTATCAAAGTTTGAAACAAAAAAGGCGCAAAATTTAGGGCGAGTAAATAAAAAACCACTAAACTTCTGCAGGGAAAACCGCACATATATTTCCTAAAAATCATCAACCTGCACGTTACCTGGGGCCTGTGTGTGAATTTCAGAAATGATTAACAAAACTGTTATACACACATAAACCAAAGGAAAAGCGCAAGCGCAATTTCCGCAACGTCTCAAATCAACGGAAAATTCAACCCTCATGTCTGCAGTTTAGCGCTGAAAAGTTTCCGGGAAGGTCCCGCAATACGGCGCAAATTTTCCGGGGATCGCGAAAACTTTGTGGCATTTAGAAACGACGATTTGTTTCCGGAAAATCTGATGCGTTTAATGTTGTGCAGTTGGATTTTGTGGCCGTTTAATTGCGATACTTAAATGGTTGCTAGTGATTGTGGATTGCGTTTAGTATCACGAGAAATTTTAGGAATTCGTTTTTGAATATTCAGGTGAGCCATAAACTTTTAATAAGAAAACAAAAGTAGACAATCGGTATGTTTTTGCTCAAAACTTCGCAAAGTTTAGAAGTGAAATGTTTTACAACAATTTTAGCAGCTTCACTATTTCGGAGAAAAATAATATTTATCTTTAACATAATGAGATCAACCTTAACCATTGAGGATCAAAGCGAGTAAAAGTTCTCTCAAGTTACCAACAGAAATGTGAAATAATATAATTGATGTATTTTTAACTACATTAAAAATATTCAGCGGTCGTTCTGTAAATTTCGATGTAAGTTGCCGTATTAATTTTCCATTTACTGCAAACATAAATTATTTCCGAATTTCACATTATTCTAAGGTAGTGTTTTGATTATTTTCCATTCCAAAATATTCCGATACATACATTATGAATATACAAATATTCATAAAAAATAACTTCTACCGACACGCGCGAACTATTTTATGGAATTTGGCCGGAAATTGTATATTTTTTAAACATATGTGCAAGTGTACTTGTGTTGAAATTGGCTTCGAAAATATTGCACCATTAATTGGTCAAATTGCAAAATTTCATAAATTTGGTACCTTTCGTGTGAATAATTTTTGTCTGAAAAACACTAAAATACGTAATTTTATGGGACTTACTGTTCAACTTTTGGTGATTACAGCCATCTTTTATTTTTTTATTTCGTTATCCCAACCTACCACGAACTTTTGTTTAAGACATGCTAAGTCAGGTTTCGTTTTTTTTTCAGGCTGTTTGGAAAGGCCTACAAAGAAATCTAGGTGTGCTCATTGAGTGTTGATAAAACTGGAATAACTATATTTTCCTTAAATACTGCGTATGACTTAACAAAAATACGACACAGTATTATAAAAGTAGATATTTTTTCTCTGTTCTAATCTGTGTGCTAACTAGGCAGGATCTGATTTAAATATTTTTTTGTCAATAATCTAAAATTAAACCGACTAATGATTAGCCTTCACCCGTATATACAGTACACCGGACTAAGCGTTTTAGTAAACATTTATTTCGGGAAATAATGTCTATGCTTAAATGTATATTAAACACCTCTGGCTTTTCAGTGCAGGCCATGTCAATTACTGATAAAAATAGCCCTAATGGCATTATTCCTTCTGTTGCTTTTTTAAATTTATTGTTAAATAATTGCCCATCAAGTTCTAGACATAAACTAACGCTGCTTACAATACATCGCCGGATATTTATAAAATTTAGATCTTCACTCTGGAAACTATTTGTTAAACATGCAACAGGATTTTACCAACTCTATAACATTTCATAGGAAGCTTTCTCACCATTGAAAATTATTTACACTGAATTGAAAGATTTACTTACTTCCGAATGCATGCGACATGCGAAAAATTAAATAAACAGTTTAACAGTCGTATGACCTGTTTCATCAAAGTTTGAGCAAGTTGCTTCTTACAGCTTGAAAGGGTAATAGAAAAAGTTATAAATATGCGTACTAATATTACAATAAAAGAACTTGCGGAAATAAACATTTAACTCAGTTTAGGGAACGTGAACGAAGTCATGGCTTTAAATAGCGGCGCTATATAGAGTGCAATGCAGCTTAATGTGTGCGCTATGCAGCATAATGTTAGTGAAATAGTCGTTTTCAAATAATCAGTTCTAGTTTGAGATAATTGAATCAACAACAATAATCATAATACATTTTGGTTTCTTCTGCTGACTCCAGAATTTTAGCATTTAGCAAAACTATTCCAGATAGTCAACGTTGATAAGGCTTCTTGCACATCGGTGGTTTTCCTAATCCTTCAGCGTGTTTTGCAATTTTCTTACGCTCGTTCTTCTGACTTCCTTCACATATTTTTAATATTATAAATAGTCCTCCCAGTCAAACACACAGGGTAATGTCCATTTCATCGAATAATTCAAGTAGTTGTTACTTTGTTGGAGCTGAGAGATTCACGTTTTGATCCCTGAGCAGCAAGAATGAATTATTTAAAAATAATTAGCGTGAATCGAAATGCAGTAGACGAGCATGGAACGAATATAGACGCAATGGAATGCCCTGAATGGATTTGGATGAAAGATAGATTGATGAACAAACAGCCTCTTGCTCTGTGAATTTAACAATAATTTTGCAGGAACAATAATGCTTGGAATATGTTTAAATGCGCGTTATCCCTAGAGTAAAATAATGTTATAATAAACTAAATGTGAATAAGAATTTTGCAAAAACTTGCAAAAAACTTATTACCATTTGTTTCCAGTAAAATTTCGAAAGTTGCTTAATGCAATAATTCTCCTCTTCTGTTAATTTTTGTTCAACATTTATTACTCTTTGACACTTTTATGTTCTCTATCCATACGTTTAGAGAAATAATTAGGACATAATCCAGTTCTACGCAAAATCTGCCTAGAGATTCGATTTCAGTTTATGGAGTTTATTTCGATTCTTCTGATTTCAAGGGGGATTTCCTCGCGATATAATTTTATATCTTTTTTTTTGGAAATATGAGTTCGAAAGACTTTAACTAATGAGCTCCAAACATTCATATTTTTCTTCGCACTACGAAGACACTAAAATGTTCCAAGAGTGATGAATATAAAATTAGAGGGAACATAAATTGCAGCCAATGAATACATTCTGTAAATAATACATTTCAAAATCAAAAACTTCTTTTAACATCTACAGTTCTATAACATTTGGGCGTTTCTGACCAAAATTTATAAAACTGCCTCAATCCATAACAAAAATTCTATAAAAAGTGATAAAAGCATCTTAGTGAAATTGATTAGAGCAGGGAAACTTTACAATAAACATAGAATAAACAGCACATTGAGAAAATAGGAAATAGGCAAATTAACAGCTGTCAATTTCGAAAATTTTTACTTCTATTTGAGCGTTCCTTTCTAATTTTAGCTGAATAATTGTTAAATAAAGTATATGACTTCTTATAAACACCTGTGAAGATATAAATAAACACAAGCTAAAAAATTAGGAAAAATTGCAACATCTTCAGTAATCAATGCCTTTTGTTCAAATTACTGAACAAACACTGTTAAACATACGAATATACACACAGACGAAATATTTGTTGAATTAAAAGTTAACGCAAAACATTTTAAACTTTAACAGAACTTGAAACAGTGAAATATAATTTATAAAGATTAAATAATAAAAAAATTGTTTGATATTTGGCAAAAGGATTAATTGGTAATTACCACTTAGGAATCATTTATTATTAGTTCGAACTTTCTTTGTAATATAGGAAAATAATGAATTCATGATAGGGATTGCCCAATTGCAACAGCAAAATGCTCACAGTGTTCATTTTTATTAGCGATTTAATTAATGTTTAACTGCTTAGAAGATTATAGTTCAGTTCACCTACTACTGGGTAACTTCCTAATTTTTTTGTTTTATTTTTAAAATACTTTGGAATGCATATGACTCTAGTGATTTTAGAGGAAAGAGAAATATGATACTCCCAAGACGGCAGTTTATGATTTTGAAGTTCTAAGACAAAAAATAGTAGCAGAGTTGGCTTTACAAAAATACGAAAATTTCAAGTTTGGACAACCAATTTCGTCATGTGTTTTGTTATAATTTTGCTTTTTGTATAATTTAAAGCCTGAGAACATACTTCGCATTCAATTATAACATTATTGACATCTTTGCGATCAGATCAGTGGGTCATAATACGGGCATTAGAGTTCGAATAATTCGACTCATTCTTCGAAAAATAATAAAAGTCTCCCACGCTACAAAACCAGCAACACGAAACATATTGAAACATATCACCTTGTGTTGCTTTTTGCCCCGATATTCTCTTCTCGGTCAGCGCATTTCCAAACAACCACTGAATCGCAATTTGAGCCTGATTTATTTTTTCCACTGAATCCCTGCTTCTTTTCGCGTTTCGACCTAGTTTTCTACTCCCCGAAGCAGGTTTTATCTCTAGATCGACCGCGATTTACCTCATCAAATTTGCCCAGTCAATAACGGTACAACGAACAGTTAAAATAAAAAATAACACAAACTTATTCAATTTCTTTCACTCATAGATCCTGTTTAAATCAGAACTAAGTCGGAAGTTTCTTGGACCTAGTCTGTCGTAAAAGTTTTGAAACTTACAATTCAATTAAACTCTCATTTTTAAAATAAGTGACTTCAGTTGCGGAGAAAATCATCGATTATAAACTTAACTATCCAAGTGAAATTTTAATAGAGTTTCCAATAGCTTTGATAAAGAGGAAAGAGTGGCTGAGGGTTGAAATTGAATTATTTAGAAGTTAAGAAATTGATACTGCAGTTAGATTGCTTGCAAATTTAATCAATGCTTGACTTTTTGCTGCGTGGGACTGAATAAGTTGGCTACTACTAATGGGGTAAATATAATTAACATTTAATTAATTAATTACACATTATGTTTCACATAATAATAAAAAAAATAATTTACTTACGTTTAATAACACTACTACAAAAAAATCAAGAACAGACTTTCACATTTTCTAGATCTGAAGGATAAATGCATTACACGATTTTCTAAAAAATAGTTCGATACAAAAGTCCTTTTTAACTTTTTAATTTTTCCGTCCAACATTCTACTTGAAATATTTTAATTAAATTAAACGTTGTTTAATAAAATAGTAGAACTGAATGCCATTTGACGATTTAATACAGTGGGAAATGTACGTTTTATTGCCAACAATATAAAAATAATATTTTTTATTGCCAATAAACCCAGTTAAATCAGATACGAGCTGTTTATTTGGAAATAATACGAACAAAGAATGCCCTTAATGGAATATCAATAAATCGCGGAATAAAATATTTTCAGCTGAATTCAATGTGGAGTGGAATACCTTTGATATCATTCACCTACTATTTTTTTTAAATCAATTTATTAATATATCTATTTCTATGAGCTGATATTGGAATTTGTCCACACATTCTTATCCATCATAATATTATCAATTACTTTTCATTGGTTTTGCTTTAATTCAAACCGTT